CCTGCGGCTTGAGTGTGAGTGTTTGCCGAATCACAAGCTTGTAGTCAGGATCAGCCAATCTGAAATCAAATTTCTGAAACAGAATGGCTGTAGCCAGAATCGCTTCTTGTAATGCAAAATCCGATCCTATGCATGCTCGAGCGCCATTTCCGAACGGCTACAAAGCATTAGCCAACTCGCTTACATAGACGTCATAAAATACGCGACCTACCTTCCAACAATTCTTGGGAAGCGCTTGAAACGAATCATCCAGCATCCTTTCGGGCTTGAATTCCTCGGCGTCGTCCCCAAAGGCAGCCGGATCTCGGTGGAGCCCAGGGGTCAAAACAAGCACCGTCTGATTCTGCCGGATGGCCCATTTGTTTGCCAGCACGATGTGCTCGTCGCTGTCTTTATCGTCGTTGAGTAATGGCGTGACTCCCCATACAGCAGCGGGTGGGTGGAGGCGCAACGCTTCCCTCAATGAAGCCTTGACGTATAACAGCTTGCCAAGGTGCTCAACTTTTATAGGCCCTTTGCCTACAACGGTGTCTATTTCTCGCTGCAATTTGGAATACGCTTCAGGGTGAGTCATAAGGAGATAGAATAGGAACGAAAGCAGGCCAGAAGTCGTTTCATGCCCTAGGTTTCGGTCAGAGCTTAGTTCTTGCAAGATGTCTACAGTTTTGCTGAAAAGATCTTACCAGCAATGAGGAAAGTAATCATGTTGTCAATGATAACATCGTCACTCAGTTTCTTGCCAGTGACCGGGTCAGTCCTGTTCACCATAGCATCGACGAGATCCTTCTTTTGAACGCCCGAGGCGTTAGTTCGACGCTTAGCAATAACGTCTGCGGCTACTTGGCGGGCATAGGCAATGGCATCCTCGAACTTCTGGTTTGCGTCCCTCATAAAAGGTGTAACAAATGCAGGCCTGCTCGATCTGACTTGGGCCTCTTTCAAGATCGTCAGCATAGCCTCGATAAATGGATCGAGATCATCTTTGTAAAATGAGTTAAAACGAGTGTCCATAGCGCATCTTCGTTTATTAACGTTAGTTCATGATTGAGGTTCTTTTATTGGTGTCAAATCAAATCTTACAACGCGATTGTGTCGAGTGTCAGGCGGGTGAAATCTTCAGCGACATTGATCTTGTTATTCTCGCCTGCCCTCGCCCATCGAAGAACCGCTTGGGAGGCAACATCGAGCATTTCTGAGAGAAGTCAGTTCCATCATTCACCGATAGACCGAGGGTCATACCGGGAAACATGTCTTGCACCGCCAAAGGTCCAAAGGCGGGGGTGAGCGTTCGGTGAGCCTCCCCCCACTCCTTCTGTCCATGAGGCGCAGTAAACAGTCCTTTGGGGGTCACATATTGAAGTTGTTTTAGGGAGCCGATCGGAATCTTGACAAATTCTTTCCGAGTGCAGACCTCGTTGACCAGTTCCTGGCTGCTGATGAAGATTCGATCGTCTCCACCGAGATGGAGCTTATATATTGGGCCTACAGTCTTGCTTATTAGTTGGTGTCTCCCAGAATATATATGTATAAATATCCTTTGTTGGTCTTCATCTTACCGTAGGTCTTGGCCAAATCTCCAAAACAGCGGACGGTATCATTGATGTCCACATCTCTGAGGTTTCCAATGATGGGCCAGCCTGGCGGCCCGGGAATGGGAGTCGTCATCCTCCCGGTAGAACCTCTGCGTGCGTCTGAACGGCCAGAATCGGAGGTTACAACGAGCTGGATGCAACGAGCTGGATGCAACGAGCTGGAACACCATTTGGTTGGTCTGTTCTTCCTTATTAGACTTTACTAAGTCGGATGCGATCGGCCCATTTCAAACAAAGGATGCATGCACGTTGGTTGGAGGGTTGGGGTTTGTTTGAGGGGTCAGTGACAGGGGAGAGAGACAAAGGCCATGGGCGGCTGAACTGTGAGACAGAGCGGCCGTCTCTGAGCTGACCAACATCGACAGCTTTGGACAGGCTGACGAACATCAATCCTATTCAGGACACATACATGAATGGCCTGGAAAAGTGGTCCGTTTGTTATTGTGCCCGCCAATGAGTCGTAAGACGTACGTACTCAGTAACCAACACGCCACCTTGCAATGGGTTACTTTGAAGGAATGCATATGCATTGGCCAAAGTCCCCGGCCTTTGATTTGATTGAATGACCCTGCACAACCAACTGCTTTCGTGCCAGAATGTAACCACACCAATGTGACCGTGCAGCTTGCCGAGGATGTTCTGGGGTCGCGGGCCAAGCACAATTTCCCCCTGTATTTTTTTCTGCGTTCTCGCAACACTGACTGTCTTCTACACTTGCAACTCCGTCCACGCAACGCGAAGGTCGAATCGCCATCGTCGAGTCGCGATGTCCAAACCCGAAGCCTCAGAGACGGTCAGGGAGGAAGTGGCCTCAGAGCCAACCTCTTCCCCAACCGAAGATGCGACCGAAGGCACGCTCGAAGACGTCAATTGGAAAATAGGCAAGCAGGAATTGACCATTCTGCTGACGATGTCCTTCCTCTGCATCGCGGTCGCCGTATGTAGCCCATAACCCACCCAATATCATGGATAGTCTATTGACCGTGTTCATTGTAGCTTGATGCCTCCATTCTAGTTCCAGCCCTCCCAGTAAGCCCAAAGAAAATAAATTGAAGAAACAATCAGGAAGCATCAGTAGCTAAGCGAAAACAGACTCTTGCGAAGGAATTAAATGGGTCCGCAATTGAAACCTTCTGGGCCGGCACATCGTATCTGCTCTCCAATGCCGTCTTCCTCCCATTCCTAGGCGCCTTGTCCGAGGTGTTTGGTCGCCGCGCGCTGCTGCTCGCGTCACTCTTCATGTTCACGGTCGGCACAATCATCTGCTGCACCGCGAATGGCTTCCCTCAGCTCCTCGCCGGCCGGACGGTCCAGGGCATTGGTGGTGGAGGTTTGATGACCATGGCTCTCGTCATCACCACGGACGTGATTCCACTGCGACAGCGGCCGAAGTATCAGACTATCATCTCTGCTGCATTTGGACTTGGAGGTGTCTTTGGGCCACTGACGGGTGGATTGATTGCTGAACACACTACGTGGAGGGTAAGTCTTGTCTGCCAACGAGTGTACGCCCAGTTGCTAACCGTGTCTCCAGTGGCTCTTCTATGTCAACTTCCCATTCTGCGCGGTCGGATTTCTCATCACTCCATTCACCATAAGACTCAAGCCGGAGCGAAAGCTCACTATTCGCCAAGCTCTGTGGCAGATTGATTGGCTTGGTGGAGCACTCTTCATTGCCGGCATCTCAAGCTTTCTCATCGGGCTCACCTGGGGTGGTGTCCAATATAGCTGGGGGTCATATAAGTCCTGGCTGCCAATCCTCCTGGGGGGTCTGGTGGTAGCATTGTCGCTGTTCTATGAAGCCAAAGTTCCTAAAATGCCATTCATGCGGCTCCGGGTATTCAACAGTCTATCTGCCGGCATTATCTTCTTCTCCACTGCCATCCAGGGTTTCATTGTAAGTCAAGGTTGGAGATATTCCTTCTAGAACACTCGCTAACAGTGCCACTCTAGCTTTACAGTCAGCTTTATTACTTGCCTTTTTACTTCACCTCAGTGAAGGGTGCGAGTACAACCTTGGCAGGCATCTTCATCATGGCTGTGAATATCATCCTTTTCCCAGTCAGTATTGGAGCTGGTCTGGTTATGACCCGCACGGGAACATACCGCTGGTCCATCAACGTAGGATTTATAATCATGACGCTAGGCAATGGACTGCTGGTCTACCTTGACCAGCATAAAAACGTTGTCCAGCATCTTTTCATCTTCCTACTCTCCGGCATAGGCCATGGCTTTTTACTTGGCTCGCTGAACTATGCCAACCAAGCCACCGCCAAGGCGAAGGACGTGTCCTACGCAGTGTCCATGTTCACCTTCATGCGAGCATTTGGTATCTGTATAGGAGTAGCCGTCGGCGGCACAGTGTTCTCGAACCTGCTTCTCCCCGCCTTGAGAGATGGGGGTGCCACTCCTGAGCAAGCACAGTCAATCACCGAGAACTCTGAAGCCTTCGTCCACATCTTGAACGAGATGCCTGATAATGAGACAAAGACAGCGCTAATCAACGCTTATGTGGAAGCGTTCAGAGGTATATTCTACGTACTAACGGCTCTCTCAGCCCTGTGCACTGTCTTATCGTTTATGACCAAGCAATTTGATATGAATGTCGCCATGCAGTCAGGGCATCATCTTACCAAAAAGGGACAAGAAGGATCAGAAAAGGCTATGGAGCAAGGAACAGCGAAGTCTTGATCACTACTAGTCTACAAACTAGACTGTGAGGAATGAGACCAATATAGAAATCATGAGATAATTTGCTAAGACCCGATCTTCCCGTGTGCCATGGCTTAGAATCTCCGTAACTCCAATTCACCCACAACAGGGAGGTAAAGAGGGGAACCCCAGGGTTGACACACGTCCATTAGATCCACCGGAGATTGGCAAGGGTGTATGTATGGGCGTGTACAATGTAGCATGCAACTCGCCACTGTCGCAACGGTCTTACGTGCATGTCAGCGGACCTTTGTATACCGAAGGATTGCCCGTATATGGTCATTTCCCACAACCCAAGACTTGGAAAATGATACGTCGTGATCCTTTGTACCCTTGTTAGGAAACAGATGGCCGGACTGCCGTCCAATTACCCGATGAAGATGCCACACTTGATTCACATGCCACTCCAGCTGCTCCATCCTCTTCCCTGCCGGCCACTTGCCTCCGGCCATGAAGGTGGTCACAGCCCACAGTCTCGTCGGCGATTAACATTCTGAGGATCTAATTGCGGAGGAGAACGGCTTGCTCTATGTAACCACACACAAAGTCAGGAGGCTGTATGGGGCGGAGAGATTTGGCATGCGTCGGCATTTACTTGAGCTTTCTGGCCCCCCTCCCGTTCATCCACGGTTTTGTGATTGAATCAATAGTCAATAGTTCTTTTCAACGAGACTGGATTGATCGCACCGATTCAAGATGCCAACCTTGACCGAGGTTCTGACATTACTGCCGAAGCCGGCTGTTGGTCTTCCCCCTCCAACCAACAGCAGCACATCACTGCCGAAAACATAACCCAGCTGACAGATCCCCCTCACAGGTATCATGCCTTGTCGCGGCCATCTCGAATTCGACATGTAAACTCGGCGACACAGCATGTACCTGCGCGAACCCAACCTTACAGGCTCAGGCGACCGCCTGCGTCGCTGCAAACTGCACAATCCGCGAAGCCCTATGTTCGTTCCATAGCCCAGCCCTGTCCGAATTGCTTCTCGAGCGTTTAATAACCAATCTTCGTACCAGCCACGAAGAATCTCACATCTTCACTATGTGGTGTTGAACCCGAAGTGAACCACTCCTTCGTGCCCATCTTCGTCGCCTTCGTGGTTCTTGCAGGCATCGCGGTTATACTGCGCTTGGCTGCGAGGTTCATAAAGAGCGCAAATGTTTGGTGGGATGATATCTGCAATATTGGCGCACTGGTAGGCTACACATTAACAATTCCCAATGATGTGGCCCTACTAACATTGAATAGGCCTTGTGCGTTGCCTTTACCGGTGTCGCCTTCTACAGTATGAACCCTGAATATCAATTGTTTGTCTCAATGTATCTAACAGGATTGCAGTCAAGGACATAGGGTTTGGCGTTGACATTTGGGCGATTGAGCCCGACAACATCACAAAGATCTTGATCGTACGTGCTTCTGAAGCTCGCCTCCCATCTCTATGACTAATGTGTGTATAGGGATACTACATCGAATTCGCCCTATATGGCGTCGCTCGACTCCTTGTCCGCGTCTCAATTGTCTTGTTCTACCTGCGAATCTTCCAGATGACAAAGGCCCGGCCAATCATGATAGGAACACTGATCGCCATGTGCTGCCTATCCATCTCCTTCATCATGGCGACCATGTTCCAATGCACACCTGTAAGCTACTTCTGGGACAAGTGGGACGGAGAGCATCAGGGACATTGTATCAACGTCAATGCAATGGTCTGGGCCAGCTCGATATGCGCCATCATCTTCGACTTCTGGCTCTTCTTTGTCCCGGTTCCTTTCATTTTGCAGCTTCAACTGTCGTGGAGGAAGAAGTTACTGATATCAGTCATGTTGGTTACCGGAATCATGTAAGTTTTCAACGAGTCATGAACATCGAAGGTTTCAAACTAACAACGATGAACAGCGTCATCGTTATTAGTATTTTGAGAGTTCCATCTATCAATGAGTTCACAAAAACGCATAACGTAACAAGTAAGTCTTAACATCACTCAGACATGCAGTACCATCGCTAACACTATACTACAGAGGACTTTGTAGGCATCGGCATCTGGTCGGCTCTGGAGATGAACGTCGGAGTGTTATGTGCGTGCATGCCGAGTATCCATGTGCTGTTCAAGGCCTTGTTCCCCAAGCAGTGGTCAACTACGAAGGGTGATTCAGGAAGACTTGTTAGCAATTCTAGGGGCAAGGCTTCAAGTGGTAGTGGCGGCCGCGGGCCGTTTTCAAGAATTACAATGACAACGACCATCGAACAAGGGCACCCGAGTGAGTCACAGACACACCTTCCGGGAGAATACAACCAGGGGCGCAAAAATGAGCTTGAACTTGGCACGATGAAGAAGGAATCGGTCCAGAGCTACGCCTGGAGCTAATCTGTATATTTATCACTTATCTATTGCTTCTATATGAATGGCTTAGCTGGCATGCTTCATATCTTGTCCTGGAACACTGAATGGGGAGGTTTTATCATCTCAAACGATTGACCATTTACGTACACAGCCGTAAAAGAAAAGTAGCTCTACCTTACAGTATTGTATTTGAAGTTCTTCAATGTAGGTTTTTTTTTTTTTTTTGAAATTAAGTCGGGCATAGCATAGTCTCTAAGGGCATGTTTAAGTCCCTTAGAGTGATAGGCCAAATTTATCAGGGCGACCTCAATTTCTCTTTGCAACTTGCCCGTGGCCTTTGCTCGAACAGCCATAAACTTAACACCAGGAGCGTTCCTGGCTGTAGCTCACCTGTTTTCTAGCACTCCGATGAGGCATTTTAGGGTTCAGAAGGGGCCAGATTATCCATTTCTCTACTCGAGAGCTTCTTTTTCTAGGAAATCATGTGGGACACTGTTTTCACTTTCACCACCCAGGCTTCATCAGTGCATCATTTGGGCTTCGGAAGGCTGTGGCTGTCGCTCTACGCACACTCAACATCGCGAGGTATTGATTTAGGCTCGTGAAAGGTACAATTCAAGGCCGAGTTGTTATGTTTCTTGAACTTTTGAGCGAAAGCAAAGACAACCATCGATTATTCGATTGGGGAGAAGGGGAGAACACAATGTCATACCATAGATACATTTGCGAGTACAAATGCAAGCTACCGACCGTAATAAAATTAAAGAGAATTCCACAATAGCTATAATGGGTGTCGGATCTATGTAGGTAATCTATTCAATGGAATAATTCATACTTTTTCGGCTAGTCAATTGCCTTGCTGTAGCGGCTAAAAACGGAAAGGCGCATCTTTTAAGAAGCAGACTTCTGGTAGAATATATGCAAAGAGACAACAAGTTACTACTTTTCTGTAACTAGCTAATTCATTAACCCTGCCCAATATGACAAGGATCCCGACTTATTACAGAACTGGTCTTGAGCAAAACTTTGCACCAAGCGACATGCCCTACCTCGAAAGTTCCCGACAAATTTCCTCAAAAGCCTCTCCATTCCCGAATCTTCTAGCTAGGGAGAGTGCAGTCTCACCATCATCTCTTTGCGCATTACGGTCAACCCGAGCTGATCCGAGTAAAGCTCTCAACACCTGTATTTCGTTCATAGATCGCCCCGTCGCAGCCACCATAAGTGGAGTGCAGCCCATTTCATGTCTTGAATTCGGTTCGACCTGATCTATTTCCAAGAGGAAAGAAACTATATGCGCATGCTGGTTCTTGATTGCAGTGTACAGCGGAGAAAAACCCGTAATATTTTTTGAATTAGGATTGACCTGACCGGTTGCTAGAAGAATCTTGTCAACTTCCAGGTGACCAAATGAGGCCGCATGTGATAAGGGGGTTTGGCCGAATTTGTCTTTAGAATCCGGGCAAACCTGTCCTGTCGCGAGAAGAAGCTGCACAATTTCCAGGTGACCAAATAAGGCCGCACATGATAAGGGGGTCCGGCCGGAATTATCCTTGGAGTCCGGGGAAACCTGTCCTGTCGCGAGAAGAAGCTGCACAATTTCCAGGTGACCAAATGAGGCCGCACATGATAAGGGGGTCCGGCCGGAATTATCCTTGGAGTCCGGGGAAACCTGTCCGGTTGCTAGAAGAATCTTGACAATTTCCAGGTGACCAAATGAGGCCGCACATGATAAGGGTGTCATGCCGGAATTGTCTTTAGAATCCGGGCAAATCTGTGCTGTCGCGAGTAAAATCTTCACAACTTCTACTTGACCAGTTCTGGCCGCATGTGATAAGGGAGTCCGACCAAGCTCGTTTTTGGATTCAGTGCAAACCCTTCCAGATGCTAGAAGAGCTTGTACAATTTCGTAACGGCCCTCGTTAGCTGCGTTTGAAAGCGGCGTTTCGCCATAGACATCCTTCAAATCAGGATTGACCCCGTTGGCTTCTAGCGCGGCCTGTACAAATTGAAGTTTACCATGTGATGCAGCAAGTGAAAACAACAGGCGACTTCCAACTTGGCCAGTAGCTAGTAGGCGATCTACAACTTCTGGTCCGCCTTCACTAATAACATTACGCACAAGGACACGGCCCTGGGTATCTCGAATCCTGAAGTCAATTTGATCCTCCATTTGATCCCCCGTTACCAAAATCTTTGCAATTTGCCAGTGGGAATTTCGTACAGCACAGTGAAAAGCAGATTCTCCATGAAAAGAGTCAGATTTTGGCGCTCCCGACGGCAACTGGAGACGATCTCGCCTGTGGTAAAGAGTAAGAAAGAGGTCCAGGTCGCCATATTCGGCAAGGAATGATATGAGAGATCTACCCGATGACGTGAAGGTAAAATCGCGGCTCAGCTTCGACACGTTGGTGTTACCCTCACAATCGTGTTCCTCGTTTCCGGCGAGATTGTCCACGGGGAGAGTATTAACAATATTATGTCGAAATACTTCTACCACTCTCCGATGTCCGTGGACCATTGCAGCCAACAAGGGACAACCATAACGCCCAACCCCCACTTGGAGGCAATATTCAGGTGAAGTGCATTCTTCAACAAGTGATGGCGCATTGGCTTCAGCTAGAATGTAGAGAAGGTCTGTCCCAAGGTCATAGCGTCGCGATCGGAATTTTTCAAATCCATTATGGAGCTGAATCCACGTGTGGCGATGGAAGTTGTGCAAAAAATTACTTTGGTGAATTCCACATGATCCTGCTGCATCCGCATGAAACAGGAGGCTATTCATGGCATATTCCAAAAACGGGAATGCTTTGTTCAGGTTTTCCAGATTCAATTCTTCTCCAACCCGATAGGAGTCATACCGCAAGCCCATGTCCTTGTTGATGTAAAGATTGCAGCAATCTCTAAGCTGAATGTGACTCTGTCCTGAGAGATTGTCGTTCAAATCGTTGAATAAACTTCGCAGCCCGTTTTCTTTGAGAAGAAAGTCTTTGACCGACTCATGGATAAGCTGAACTGTTGGACTCTTGGAGTTTGCCACTTCGGCGAGCCCCTTAGAACATGCCACCAGAAAAATTTTAGAATCAGCCTCGGTCAAGTCTTCAGGATCCAATTGAGTAGGATCATCAGTTTGAGAAAGGATTGCAACATGAAGTTCGAGCAGTGTCAGCGGTCGTTTCGAGAACAAAATCCATTGAAAACAAAGAAGCAATTCCTCTCTGTTGTTGTGATCTTGAGTTAAGATGCTCCGAAAAAGTTCGTGCAAGTCTTTCGGTATTTCCCGCAGCTTTTGACGTAGTTTGTGCTTACGCCCATTGTCTCGTTCCTTGTTGAGAATTTCGACGACAAGCACAGCCCACATGAACACCCCTGATGCTTTCTCTTGCAGCTCGCTCTTAATTTCGTGGGCGACCTTACCATGTCCAATTGCCAACTTACTGTCGATATATTGGCGAATATCGTCACCGTGGTGCTGCTGCTTTTCGAGTGTAATTTCCAGTCCTAGGCCTTCTCTCATAGAGATATGAGGGTAGTGGCGACTTGAGAAACATACATAAAATCCAACTCCGGTAGATATTGCTAGCTGGCCGAGGCGTTCAAAAAAGCTGATCATGTCCCGTATCTGGTCATCATGACATTCATCAAGGGCATCAATATAGCAGACCACAGTGGACGTAAGCTTTTCGATTGCCCGCTCGATCAATTCTTTCATTAAATCGTTCGTCCATTGACGAGGCGTCCCGTTAGCAAACAGCCTCGAACAGTCCAGAATATCCTGGAGTGAAGGAATTTTTGTAAGCAGCTGAAATAGGATAGACTGATACAGTCCGGTTGTTGATTTCTCCAGGTCGTGACCGCGAGCGTTGAAAAAGAAATCAAGAGTTGTGGGATGGGCTCTCTTCTTTTGTGATGCATCGGAGATGAACTTCATCATTGTCGACTTTCCAGCTCCTGGCTTGCCTTTAATCCACAGGAAGCCGCCGTGTTCGCGAATTTTCCTTTCGTCCAACCAGTCAAGATATTCTTCCTTCTCCAGCATCCATTTGCAGGTTTTCAAATGTGCCCTCTTGATGTTCATCCGTCGGTTATCTATATGCTCGAACCTCAGTGACTCCATCTTTTCCTTTCGAGAAATTTTGATAGAGTCCGATGGTGAGTCTTGCTGAAGCTCTGGGGTGGTTGAATCTACGAGATGATTAACTCGCGTGAACAATATTACTTGTGACGATACTAACCATGGTTATCAAGCGCGATCGCCCGAGATATCAGCTCCGAAGCAGGGTGGATTGATTGGAGAAGTTCTTTTGCATATGCCGCTGCTGTTGCCGCGGCATACTGCTGCCAGGTTTTATTCTTGTGCGAATCACAGTAGTCGCAAATCCCCCGGATAACCAAGCATGGGAAATGGTCGATGAGCCCTGCTGCTTCCATTTCGAAGCAGAGGATATTATTTCGGCTAGCCCAGCTGTCCCTTAATGCAGCATCCTTCACTACCTGGTTACCTGAGGCTATCGTCCCGTAGTGAATACGGACCTCGTTACCTGGCCGCGAAGGTCGACATATAAGCTTAGATTGATCACACTGGTCACAGTCCTCCGTTTCGTCGCTGTGCCTATAAGCTGTATCAAATAATCGATCCTGGCATTGGCTAGGGTAGCTGTAGTTTATCATGTCTTGGTTCCGGTACAGCATATCCGCAAGAATGGAAGGCGTCTGTGTCGGGCTCTGCTCGTGCTCTGCTCGGAGGTTGGAGAGGGCTGTTAAGATTTGGTGTGGAGGTCTGACAGGGTGGCTTGTGCAAGTGAATTCGCCTCCATGAACAGTCTTACCAAAGTCGTACTGAAGTACATCATGGCCGACGACCACGTCACCAAGACGAACATCCGACTTGGGAACACCGCCCCCGATGCCGACCATGAGCCTAATCGAGATGCAAGGAAAGGATCTAGCCATGTTGTTCGCGACCACTGCCGCATTATTTGTGCCGTAGTGGCCTGATGGCAAACAAGCAATAACGATATTGTGAGCTCCAATATTTCCGTACCTATAGTAATTACGGTCGCCTTCCAGGGTGGGAAGAGGCGGGTGCTTGTTGTCGAGCATCGCTGAGGCTGCGGCGAGCTCGATAGGGAGAGCAGCGACCCAGCCAATGGTATAATCCTCGTGTCTCAGCTTGCTATAAGAGAATGAGGTTGTGCGGCTGAGGGCATCCACTGCATCGCCTTCGGCTCCATGTCTCTTAGGCGCTGGCAGCATCGACGCGTCGCCGCCAGAGATGCATCTCTTTCTCGCCTTATTATTGATGGCGGGGATGTCCATCGGAATAGTTGTAGGCCCTATATCGCAAATATCTGCGAATACGTTATAGGTTTAAGTTGTGCAAGATATGTAGATGTGGTCGCGAGGGTACCTGAGCGACAGGCGCACAATTGTGAAAGGGATTGAAAATTTGTTGGGCATCACTGCATCTACTTCAAAAGTGCCTACATACACGTGACACGCTGCTGCCAATGGCGGGCTGTAACTGTGAAATGCAGGCGGATCTGACGGCTGACTTGCAGGCTGACTGGCTAGCTGTGTTATGTCTCGGCAATGATTTTCACGTCTGCATAACTACCTGCTACTTGCTTCACCATTTTCTCAAAAGTGTCTCTGTGACGTTACTCACATGCCACACGCCGCCCCTACCGACAATCCATAGTTCATTCTGCCCAAAAGCGATGCTAACAGCCAAATTATCTCCCCCGCCGAGTCTGATTGACCCAAGCGTCAGGCCACTCTCCGGATCAATCACATAAACGCCGTCTCCCGACCCGGCAAAGATCCAGCCATTCCTTGACACTCTGATGCCATCATAAAAGTATGCGATTGGGTTGTTCAAGAAGCGCTTGTTCGTGAGGACCCCATGCTTTGAAATGTCAAACGCGTGCAGAGAACGATCGCCAAAGGGGTTCTTCTTCGACACGGGCTTGAATTCCGAGACTCCAGTATCTGGGATATACAGAATGTGACCGCCTTGCGGGTTCACACCTACCGCCACACCGTTTGCGTTACCAGTAGTGATGTGGATAGGCTTGGGTCGTAAACTAGAACCGTTTACAAAGTATACAGTAGGATTGGTCGGGTTATAGAAGTCGGTAAGATCACGGCCCTGTCCTCCGGTAAGTTTTTTTTTTCAATAATTAGGGGTGAGTCAACTCACGTAGGCGGATTTGGAGTCAGTCAGATAGAAGTTGCCGTCAGGGTCAATGTCAAGATCGTTGAAGCCCAAGAACGGCTGCTCGTAGTAGTTGTTAAGCAGAGTAGTTTTCTCAAGGGTGTTTGGATTAATCTTGACCAAACTGCCAGTCTCGTTATGCGACCCATCAGTTACCACGTACAAGCTCTTGTTGAAGTAGACACAGCCATGAGCATTGTAAGTGAGCGGCGTAGTGGTAAACTTTTGAAGCTCATTGGTTTCTGTGTTGAGGAGGTAATGCCAAGTATGAGTGCCATTCTGCCCACCCGGAGGGCCCCATTCGACAAAGAACAGTTGTTTCAAGTCCGGGTTGTAGCATGGGGATTCATGAGACTGATAAGCCAGTTTGTGTATGTGTTGAACCTGAGCATTTGGCCCTACAATGTCGAAAAACTTCTCCTCATAAGCAATGAAATTTGTAGAGTTCAAAAATTCATTACTATGCAAGTCAGAAGTGGAAGGAATCGAAGAGCTGGTCATACATACGTCGAACTAAGCTGTTCATCAGATGCCTCGCTTGCAACAATCGCATCCATGGCAGACCTATTGAAAGCTCCGGGCAAGACTGCAATATTCGGATATGTCAAATAAGCCCAATTGGATGGGGAGGATTTGAACGCCGCTGGTAGATCGGCTAAGAATGCCGCCTGGGCCACAGATGCCACGAGAAGTAGTGACACCAGCATTTTTTAAAAATAAGGGATTTTTTTCTCGGTGGAGTTTTTGATATTCTGAGAATACGACAGGACTCAAGACTTATATATCTGAAGTCTCTAACCTTAGCAGAGCGAACAAATGAGGTTCATTGCGGAGTGCTCCGCACATTGCTGCCCTCTGTGACCCCATCCATAACCCCATTGCGGGGTAAAAAGAGGGAAAGGCCCAACAAGAGCTGGTTGATGAAGGATAGCATCTGGGGTAGTTCACACACGGCGGAATTAAGCAGGGGATACTGATGCTGAAGTTTCCCCATGGTTTTCGGACTGTTCCGCTAGGGTGCGATTCCCGGAGCAGCCCGTAGTCTAACTGTTTTACAAATATCACGACGGCACTTAAGTGGGCCAAACGGCTCTCTTTTATTACGATCTACCTTGAACGGGACAACAGCAACGACCCGTCCAAAAGAAGTGACTTGTAGGAACTAACGCCGCTCACAGAAAATCAAGTAGCTAAATTAATCTATCTAGCTAATGAAAGATATGTACTTACGCGAGGCTGATTTATTTTTAAGCATGGTACTAGCCAAATTAAGCTAGTTGATATGATTGGGCGGGTTGCTGTCCGGACCCACATATTGGTCGAACATTACCATTTGCGATGTCAAACCAGAAGAGCCGGCATGTAGTTGGATAGATGTTTAACAGTGACACCGATTTCCAAATTTCCCGTTTATACATGTAGACAGCACCCAAATCTATGTTATTTGTGCCATCGCTATAGAAATATTCTTTCCTATAACTTGGAGACAATGTCTAGGAGACGATAAGATTCTAGATCTCACGGTGTCCGCCGCAATATTAATTGTTCTTTCAGCTCTAGGGTAGGAACATTCATTGTTACCCAGGAGGCACTAGCCACACTTCAGTACCAGCCATACCTTGACACTAGCCACAATAGCCCCATATACCTGGGGTTATATCATAACTTTGGACAAATGTATAACTTTATGAAAAAATCTGCTCAAATATTATGCAAGCACAACTATGTGCAAAGGGACCAATAATGTCACTGGAGCTGAGATTATTCTGGTCATGTTCCAGGGCCGCAAGGTTGACAGATGGTTATTTTCTCTGGTCTTTGTGGCCAGTTAAGATCAAGAACCATAGAGAGTTTCTTCTTCACGTTGGTGTACCGTTTAACAGCTATGGAGACTCCCGGTGCCCTCATTCTCTCGTTGAATCTCCACCGGCGTCTACGTCGTTCAGACATGTTCCGCACGGGGTTTAAAAGCACCTATGGAAACCTTTGAAGAAAATACGGGCGTACTATCCTATGGAGATCTTATTGTGGCATCATATGATGCTACCCTCTGTCTTATGCATGAAACAGGCGAGGAGTACTGCCCATCAACTGCTGTCTCAGTATGACCATCACATCTGACCGTTTCAGCCGCGAGACATGGAAGCTAATGGACCTTCGCGGGGGCGGGATTCTTGAGCGCTTGGTTAATTACAGGAATTTTGCCCGGTCCAAGACGGAGAATTAAGCTGTTGCTCTATTACATGGCAGCTTCATCCATGTCCTCAACTAGCAATTCCAATCTTGCAACTTCACCGCACAAAGACCGCTACCGTGGAGCCTATGAGCCACGTATTGGTGCACTGGACTTAAAGATTGAGTTGGCTATAGATCCAAATTTCGCTGGAACGACGTGAGCAGGTTGACACATTTCACTCAATTATGGCGGGGCGTACGCTTAAATGTATCGCTTTCCCACCAACCAATAATGCTTGTCCAGCTCACCGACTTCAAGTCTCAATAACTGTCTCTGGAAGCGGAAGCCAAGCATGACAAGATCCCCTAGTGCTTGGCTATATTATTCCATGTTATTTGCTCTTTAGAGCAACGGTAGTTCAAGGTCCGTAGTCATTACCAGGTTAGGTCGTGAGGTGGCGCAATCCTTTGAACATCTTGGCTGTTCACAGAGCCATGTGGCGTGATAGACAGACTTATTGCAACATACCTAGTATAGAGCCATCTGAGACAGAATTGCCAACCAATAGCTACAAGAGGAAATGGTTCTTAGAAAGGACATTCGGGCGAAAGTCTTTGTTTTACATTCCACTGTACCTCCAGGAAGCTTCAATTCTGCATCTTATCATTATTTGACAGTAAGAAAGGTTCCCATCTGCCTGTGTCCACAGTAGGCACTTCATGGGTTGGAAGCAAGCGTTGGACTGCCTTTTGAGCCTAAGCACTTGGGAGAGGTCATTAATCAATATAAATGCCAGAAAGGAAAGTGGCTTGTCGATCAAGCATATTGCTCTCGTTCAAGAACGAATAGGACCATATTTTCGGGGGTTTTATGGGACTGGTGAAGATGTCTAGGTACAAATACGAACCCGCCAAGAGCTGGGAACGTTGCAGCTGACAGCTCCATAAGGGAAGGGCCCAATGCAGCCCCTAGAAGAGCCTGTGCGAAATGGGTATAAGCGGCTCTGAAAGGTGTAGGGCGACATTCCGACTGGGCGTCGGGAATTGGTAGAGACAGGGGTAGCGCTATATGTGGATGAATTTATCACGTTCGCCACCTGCGCACGGTGTTGTCCTCTGGCGCTTGACAACCGTGCCTCTACGTGTCAATGCAGCTGTAGTCATTCAAATTTCCTAATTTGAAAGGATCAGGCGAATCAAGCTAGTCTTGGCTCGGCTTCGACGGTGCATGAACGGTGGTTGGCGCCAACAGTATGACTGCCGAGCCGTGAATATGGGGTCGACGGCCAAAAGGGTCGAAAGGAACACTGCCCTGGCATCTGTCTTCGGGCTGGGACTTTTGTTACTCTAAGCCGGCTGCCTCTTGACTGGCGTGGTGTATCATCTTGATGCAACCATTGTTTATCTATCTATTTGGTGAGGAGATGGAAGAGAAGTAGAATGTGTGTTCTAAAGGCCTGAGGGGCACGCCGGTTTTCGAGAGTTGACAGCTCCGGGCCCTACCTTTTCTAGCCGGAAAGTCGGTGATCGATAGGAAAATTACCATTTTGAATTCTCCGTAAGTGCCGGCTGCGGTGCTAAGCCTACGGATGTTGCCTCTTATGGCGGTGAAGGACACCGAACCCTGGGAAATTGCATCGTGGCCCTGTAGTCAGACTGCCGCTTGGGCCCTCTTTCTCATCTACGGTCAGGTAAAGCAAGGCCGGCTTTGAACAGAGAGAGCTTGGATACGCCCAATTCCAATTACAAAAGGCCGGACAATCCCTCACCAGCAAGACAATTTGTTGATCATCATCATCGCCATCATCACCGACTCTCAACAGAAACCACCCTCAACAACACAATGAAGTTCTCCATCGCTACTCTTTTCCTCGTCGCTACCGGCTTGGTTAGCGCTCTTCCCGCCAATGAGAACGAGACCAACCTGGAGGTGCGCGCCGAGGCTGGCACAGGCTGCAACCGGGCCGGACGTGTCACTTGCAGTAACAGTGATGGTCAACGGTGAGTTGCATCTTCACCCTTATGATAGGATTCGGAACTAAACATGGCCGCTTATGACAGGTACCCTCACATCCTGGTTTGCGTTGACCGCGGAAACGGTCTCAGGTGGTTCATCCAAGCTACTTGTGCCGCCGGAACTTCATGCGCCTACAATGAAAACCCCAACCAAGCCTGGTGCAAGGCCTACTAAGTTGCTCAACGGTTGATGTGAAGGGCTAAGAAACCTGGTCTATCCTTGGTGTTTGAGGGTGTCAATGCAAGTGATTCTCAAACCTTCGGTATCAGATTATGATGGCCAATACCTTACCTATACTTCATTGCATCGATGTATATAAAAGGATCTCAAAACCAGCTCTGGTCGAATAGATCTAATAGACTTGAATATGATCGCACACCCCCTCGTTGATCTTATTGTGAACTCTCTCACCCTGCCAAACTAGGTTTTGCCTGTGCATAATGGCATTGGGCTTCTGTCTATGTCCACTACCGCCGTTCCCTGTAACTCCTGAACCATTCACGCAACGCCACGAACCGGACTTATCTAGGCCACGAGACGTAGAGCTTGAATTAAGATATCTTCTTATCTACTCTACCCATGTCGGTAATCGAGTTGATGTTCTGATAGATAATCGGGTGAAGGAGTAGATAAAGACCCAAATGCCAAAACCTTCTTGAGAGGTAATAAAAACCGATATTATGTGTGGTCCTTGTGTTGTTTTCGTTTAGATTGTCAATGAGTGATAACCACACCATTTCCGAGGTAGAGATTTCCCAATGCATATACTTTCTATCACGAGACTATGAATAGAATTAGACGCTAATATATACAGTACGCAATGAATCCCGTCGGCGATATCTGGAGGATCGGCTTCAAAGGTCATGTTTTGAAACACCGTGCCTATGGAAACAACAGTAATTGCATGCCTAAATCCCCATAGGATGCCATGCCTCCTTGCCAGGGACGTGTAGGACTAGCCGGTGATGGTACACAGAAGTGTCAGACACATGCCCGTAATGCCGAAGCCCTATTTTCTTCACGAAAATTCGGCGCAACTGTTCCTCAGACAGCAGCTACCGAAGCTTGACTGCCTTATACTTGGTCGTCCCCCCCCTGTCGGTTGCTATTCCCAGATGGCTTTAGTTGGACATATAATACACGACAGTTGGTACAGTAAGATTTGTTGAATAACCCACCTGGCTCTCGCCTGAGGATCGATCACGCATGTTATGTACAGCTTGTTCTTGTTCCTTCATTTACTATTCCATTCACCACAGTTATGGAAGCATAAGCATATTGTACTGTCGTGTCTAGCTATTGCTTTGTCATATCATCACCTTGTGTGAGTTGTTAGCAAGTAAGGAAGATCACTGTAGTCGACATATGATCGCCACACAGTGAAATAGACCGGCATTCTGCTCCACAGGGCTGGCCATTATGCATCAATACTTGAATCGATAACAAAGTTTCTTCTCCAAGAAGGATAAAACTCACCCTAGAGCATACTAGATGAAGAAAAGCTCGCAGTGACGGAAGAAATGGGAAGTCATTCTCGGCGGGACATGACTGCTGAACATCCAAAGCTAGGTAATCTACCATGTCAAGGCAACTAAAAGTGTTGGAAAGCTAGCTGTCTTCATTATACTTTGAGCGGTGGTGTATTGAGAGTTTTCCAACGTCCCAGTAGAGAAAATGGAGTGAATCGGATTTCGCTATAGTCACTTCGTAACTGGATGGTTAGACACCCTGTTCTTCAGTATGTCCTAGGATGTAGAGCTTGACTCAGGATGGCAAGTAATTAGTAGGATGAGCCATGGTCCTTGAAGAATAACACCTGACAGCTTCGTGGCCGATGTGGGCTCCTTCGGACCTAAAAGAGCTGGGGGAGTGGCTGCTTAAATTCTACGTGGTAGGTTTGGTATATTGTACAACTAGATGATGGAGACCTCAGCTTAAACCCGGTAGTGCATAGGAAAAGCGTATCTTAAGGATCTTACGGGATGCAGTCTAATTTAAAGACAAGCCAAGGACCTGATTTCGGTAATTTGTCCATGAGCTAAATATAATTACGTTGGGCCAAAATCCTGGTAAAGGTATAGCATATTCATCTTAAGACACATATCCTGATGTTGGTTTCTTGATTAAGAAACACCCAATTCTTTGTGATTACTATACATAGGAGAGAAGTGTATGTCGTATCACCACTACCTGTGTCAGGTCGTGTGTTGCACGGCTATCTCATTGTTTTGGCCAGGACTGGAGCTGGCCAGGATCTCACTGTTTCGGCCAGGACTGGAGCTGGCCAGGATGGATTGACAAATATAATAGAGCCACCCGCTGGGTGGCCACTGTGCAGGCTTTTCTTGCAACGCTCGGCGTCTTGCTTGTCCATCTTTTTCATCACTGCATTGTGACAGGCCCACAGCTCTGGGTAGATGCGAAATTGTTTCTCCTGTCGCTCGATGTGGTCCCGAAGTACTTTCGCAACGACGTACATTCCACATTTCTCAGCCTTCAATATGGCACCTTCATAGCCTGTTAAACCACGTCGAGCGCTCAATGCTCCTGCATCTAGAAGAAGCTTGGCCACGTCGCATCGACCAATGGCTAGATCTAATGTCGATTCTAGGTACCCAGTCTTTCGTGTCCTCATATGAAGATTGGGGTCAGCGCCATGGGCTAACAGCATAGCGGTCAGTTCAACGTCTCCCCGCCATGCGGAAGCCATAATTGCTGTCAGCCCTCCAGCTTCAGGCTCTACATTAATATTTGCACCACTCTTAATCAACAGATTTATAATATTCTGCTGGCGATGCCTTTCCTCGCCCGACACGGGACCCCAACGGCAGATTGCTTGAAGAGCTGTAAATCCATGGAACCCTCGAGCGGGGGCGTTGACATCTGCTCCGCGGTCCAATAATTGAAGCACTAGAGGGTAATTGCCGATAGATGCTGCGGCTTGGAGAGGAGTAGACCAACAGTCATTGAATCCCGTTTTAACATATACGTCGATGGAAGCACTTTCCTGGATGACTTCCTGGATCAACTGATCCCCGGCTTGGCGTTTAATTAATGAGGCTAGGATCGCTTGTGGGTCAGGTGGTAGCCCATAGGAAGTGTACAGCTTATTGAATATTAGAAGCGAGTCTGTTGTTTCAACCGAAGCTGCTACGAATAGGGCTTGAAGCTCGGCTCCTGCAATTTTCCTAGATCCGACCCCAAGCCGGTCTAAGAGCCAAGGGGCTAGTAAATCCGTAGTTGTTCTCGCGCGACAGATCGTAGCAATTTCTTCGCTCTGTCCCAAAAAGTACTAATTTCTTTCGTTATCTTGAAAGAAACATGTTTGAACAGGCCACCAGCGTATTCATCCGTCGCTCTCTCTTTTAGCTCAGCTCCGCAATCAATAAGGTGCTGCAACATAGACATCTTGGCTTTTATGTTCCGATGACTATCGATCTCTTGGATCAATAAGGTCACAACTGTGAAGTCATCTCCTAATCCAAAGTCATCGCAGATTCCAGCTTTGATGTTCACACCAGCGCCTAATAGCCAGTTCACAGCATCGAAATTACCATTTCGAGCTGCTGTCAGGAGAGCATGAAGTCCAATATCTCCGACCTCGACACTGAATTTTGAGAGCCGCTCAAGAAAGGTTGTTCCTTTCTCGGAGACTGCTTGGCTGATAGTTTCTGGGGTGACACACGAACGATCTTGAAGGAAACGGTCTAGGCGCTCATATGTTTCGTTATTTATCCCGCGCCGAGCATCTTGCAATAGTCGTGAACAACATTCCGAACGGTCGGACTTATGGATCTGGACCCCGACATCAATCAGACTTTTGAAAGCGGAGATATTGAAGAATTCCCACCCTTCAATCTTCGAAACCTGTTCTCGCATCACAAGCTCTAGAAAGTTCGAAGCCTGCCCACCCACAATTGATTCCCTAGATCGCAGATATGCGGAAAGTGCTGATGTCCCATGCATAGCAGCTCGCAGAATTCCATGTCTTGTCATTGTTCCATCGGGAGACATACTTCGAAGAAGCATTAGATCAAATAACTCTGTGTCTCTTTGGTACCCCCAATCCAAACATGTCGGATACCACTCCTTCGGTATTTTCATCTCTTCCAGCAGCTTTGAGTACCGTCGATCTTTAGCGAACCATGAGGTGACATCAATTAGAGGGCACGGCGAATCGACATTGGCACCTGCCTGGAGAAGTATGTTGAATGCACCGAGATATTCTCTGTCGTATGTTCTTTGCATCTTCGCACATATTATCGTAAAATGGGTCCTGGAATCTTCAAGCCGGAAATTCAAATCGCAATCCTCAACTAAAGCTTGAACACATGATATCGAGTCCATACGGATAGCCTCCCAAATTGCGTAGCTTCTCATGTGGGAATTTGTTGGGCAGGCACCGAGCTGTAATAGTTGCTGAAGCAAATGACTATCTGAGATCGAAATTGCTGTAAAAGCAAGATCATCCTTGCCAGCCGCAGGCCAGTGGGGATGTTGCAGGCCAACATATGTCAAAAAGCAAATCACGTCATTCAGGTCGACATGTGGCCAGACAACGTCTCCGTGAAATAAAAGAACACTATTTGACATTGAAAAAAGGTGTTGCCATGTAGACTCTATAGATGGGAGGTCTCTTTGGAAAAGAGTCGACAATATTTCTCGAGGGAGATCAACAAAGAGCACCTTCATCAGTTTTGCTGATCTGGAGTCATCGAAAACTGTTAAATGGTTCGATAATAGATAGACAGCTTGGGCTAAAAAATGGTAGATCTCTAAATTTGTGGCATGGACGGTGAGCTGTGTAATCGTTTCGTGAAGATGCCACATCGTTGGGAAAGCAGTATCGCACATCCTGGCCAGAGGAAGCTTTGAATCCATAGTAGAGAAGCCATCTCGAGGCATTAAAGAATAAGTAACATTATTGATCCTTTGGAACTGTCGTTGAATTTTCGTGCCTAACGCGATTGCTTTAAAAATTGTTAGGGGGCCTGTTCAAAGATTTTGAGGATAGTAGCTTACAATGAAATAAAAGTCGAAAACGTTGCCATGGTAGATTCTCGAGCATAAGCTTAACATATTCCGACGAAACAATACTAGCAGGTAGCAAATGACCTTGAGAATGGCTCGCCCCCGAAAAATTATTTTGACACACTGATACTGGTATCTCTTCGGATACATCTGTTCCAGCTTCAGATAGTCCTGATTTGGTGAACTCCGAGCTCAAGGCCCATCTGGAGTCGACAGATGCTTGATGTGCCTGGAAACTAGGACTACAGACAAGAGAGAGGGGTGAGATGTCTTGGCATGCGTTTCCTGTTACAGGGTGACTCGTAGGCGACGGAGATGGAGTACGCAGCTCTACTCCATGAGGCAGTGGCGTGTTTCCATCTATTAGGTGTTAGCAGCTGGTCCAGAATAAAGAGAGTCCTCGGACCAACCAATTATTGCCTGCCTTGCTCCAGAACGTCTAATTTCCTTCCAGGCTTTGACCCATGGATATTTTACGCCGTTTAAATAGAGTCAGGATGTCTCTCTCTTGGTCTTTAGGTGATGCTGATAAATGACCGACCAGTCACTTTTCTTGAATTTCTTGCGCACTCCCAGGTGATTTCGCAGCCGTGTCTCATAGATGGAGATGCTGTATTCATATTGGTTAGCCACAAAAGCCGATGTGGTGCTCTTGATGAGGTCTCACGGTAATGAAGGGAATTGGTGATCCCTTTCTAGGATTTCCTTCACCTCCTTGAGTGTCTTTCTCTCCTCCTGATATAAACGTTGAATCAACGGCCTATGCAGGATGAAGATGTCGTCCATTATGTGCACAATAGCGAGCGTGGCGGGAGGCGACAAGGGTCTAGATTTGGTGCTGAACTGGCTGAATTATGTTGGTTGAACTGAAGACTGAGTAGTGAATAATGGTTTGATGAGCTCTTTGGGAGGGCTAGGGATTGCTTTTCGAAGAGAGCTTCTGGATATTTATTTTGTCAATTTGTGGAATGTGAGGAGACCCCCTCAGGGAGAGATGGGCAGCTCTCGTCATCCATCTGACGGGCGTAATGCAGTAAGCCGCCTCATTCTATGCAAGAGGCTCCCCGGGAACCAATACAGTTGAATTCCCGCCCCCTTCCCTCTAGACCTGACAAATCATCGCTGTGTGTCCAAAGTCTTCGTGCATGTGTGGGTTGAACAACAGATGATCTAGCAAATCAGCGCGTGCCACAACCCTCCGTGTCCAAAGTCTTCGTGCATAATTAGGTCAAGTTTCCGGTCACCAACAGGTGATCTTCCTCACCCCGCACATATTTCTATCTACATACGCTTAGATTTTGGGCAGCGATGAATTTTGTTGGAGTTGTGAACGCCTCTGGTTCCGTTTCACCTGCATTGCTTTCTCGAGAAATCTCTCGTGGAACGCCTACTAAGACAGCCATTGCTTCGCGGTGAGACAAGCTTACGTAGGTATAAAAACTCAAGTAGGTAGGGTTCTTATTGATAACTGGGTGACAGAGCGTGGATTCTGCCCAACATTCTCGTGATTTACACATTTACAGAAATTACGTTACTAATCGCTGCCAGATAGTTTGACTTCACGTAGCATATATTGTTGATAAGTCAATATCAATATATGTTACACCTAAGAGTTGGATGCCTTGTCCAAGTTTGACACAAAGTTGGAGTCCTTCGCAGGGAACTCGGCTGATCCAAAATCGTACGTGTTGAGCGCATTCTGCATAGCGCTCGTCATCGTCGCCCAGTCCAACACGGGCAAGTCACGTCCCACGGTGCTGGTGAACTTTGTCGCATGGTTCAGCGGCCAGGTGAAGTAGTACTCAATCAGGACATGGTTGCCATCCATGGCCGGCGAGGTCGACCTGCTGTACTTGCCGTGGGCGGAGGCGAACGCCTCCTCGAACGCGCCGGTAGCCTTGTTCACGAAGACGACGGCATTCTCCCAGTCGTGGCGGTGGCCGCTGGTGAAGGCGGAGTCGGGGTGGTCCTTGGGCATGTACCAGGCGTACATGATGGCGATGCGGCCGTTGTACTCGGCGGCGCGGGCGTATGTCTGGCCCTTGCTCTCGTCTCTGCAGGCGCCGCTGGCACTGCCCGATGCAGAGAGTCCACCACTACGTTTCCTGCGTTAGAACAAAGGTGCGAAAGGGATGTCCGTTAGCTCTTACCTGACGTTTCCGGCTGAGTCCACGGCAGGGTAGGACTGGCAGCCGTGTGAAACATATAGGCGGGGTTCGAACTTCAACATGAGTTGACCCAATGTCCCTGACTGAACAGCCTCGGGAAGGGGGCTTAGAGAATCATGATCGACTACAGCCCGCTTCTGAAGCGGCGCTGCCTGAATGGCGACAGCGGAAAGCAAAGTCGCGATGATGAAGTTGGCGTGCATTGTAACGATAGAGAAATCTTTTGGGTACGATTTCGTCAGAATATGTTGTGCAAAGGTGACTGAATCGTCCGTGACATCACATTGAGGGGATCTTGACGTTTATTATAGCCACTCTCAAGGATGTGACCTTCCCGTAATGAACTCCCAAGCGTTTGCAAAGAGCAAATCGTAGACTCCACAGTGTAACAGGGACGAACAGGAACGTGCCAAATGCCGAACGATATGGCGTCCATTTATCACTGCCCTCACAATGACGGGCGGAGACTACAGTGTCACTGGTTGAGGGTTACATCAACTGCCGAACCAATTATACCGCCCTCGCAAACCTCATGGTACCCCGGGCTCAGGGGTATTCCGAGTCAAAGAATGGTTTGCTTCTGTCTCTCTTATCCGGCTCAAGCTAGGCGACGCGTCATTTAGTTTAGCGTGAACGTCAAAGTAATTAATGAGCTATATCGGCACTAAGAGCGTATTTGTCGCGGTCGCCGCCCTTCCGCGATGCTTTTGGTTCTAGTGACGGTGTTAAACGCTGAATGAGGCAACCTCTTTCCGGCCTGCCTGAAATGTGGAGATAGTGTGTTGAATCAATGCCGAGGCGACCAATGCTGGAGGAGTTATCAATCTGATGGCCTGATCTCAAGGGGAGTGTATGGTAGAGCAACCATTGTTTACGCTTATTAGCCCACCTATCGTGGGATGTGCATGCATGGATTTATCACAACGCAAATCCACTGCAAGAGCACACATCACGCAGAGAGAGACAGGAAGATGGGCATAAACCAACCAGTGGATGGCCAAGTAATTAACATAGGGTACTACTGTATGTACTGAGAGAAACTCCATGTGAAGATGAGTCAGGATGTGATTTGAGGAGTACCTGAGACAAACACAGTCAGAACTGTAGCATACCTGCGCCCCAAAGGTTAGCCAGGTCGCTTTTTTGGAAGAATTTGGGAGGATTAACATACGTCGAGCCTGCCAGGATTAGTTCCATGGTTCTAGATTGAGTCAATATCGAGACTATCAAAAGATAGCAAACTGTAAATGTCAAAACAATGACTATTCTGATCCAGTTTGAGTCGGTGGTGCTGCAGATTACCACCGGCAACAAGAGCAGCAGGGTTATCAGGAACAACAGGAGTGCTCGAGATGTTCGCTGTACCAGGGGGCCGGAGTCTATAAATACATTTGGGTCGTCCGATAGATCGTGGGACTTGTTCTAATTGTTTGTTAATTTTTTAGACGATAGTCAGAAGATTAACATGCATACCCTTCGGAATCCGGCATAGAATTTGATGAACATATTCTCGACCCAGGCCTCGAGTTTGACTGTTGCATTATCACCTAGGGGCGCAAGAGAAACCAGCTCTCGACTCGAAAGATATGCTGTTTCCTCCCTGGCCAGAGACCCCGTGCCGTTCACCCAGTTTCGAAGACTGTGCACATCTCTTTCCTGAGCAGGACATAGACTCAACACGCGATTTGTGCGCTCGAGATAGCGATCTGTGATATTCAATAAGTAGATTGAATAAGCCCATGGAATCATAAGAATATACCGTATTCTTCAAGGCATGTTTCTATTTCCGCCAACACTTCTTTGCGGGCTTCATTTCTGTCAAATCGACTCTTCCCAAGAAACAGCGGGGCAGGCTCTTGTCTGTCTATCTCCTCAAGTCGCTTCTCTAAGATATCCAGACGGTCTTGTTTCAGAAGCAGGAGGCGCGCGCGGAGTTTGTTGAACGGTCTACATACGAAGTAGGGCTTGTGGGCTGAGAGAAGGGCTGTGTACCGGGGGTACCCCTCACGATATTCCTCGACTATTTTGCGCGCATCACACATCAGAGTTCAATTTCTTCAATACAGCATTAATGGGTCATTGAGGGGAAACCAAACTTTTTTTGGGCGGGATTGCCTGGGTAGGACGGGGAGGGGTTGGGTTCCATTGGGGAAGACACGATTGAATGGCCTGCATTCTAATGAAAACTTTCACAGCGTCTGCCCAAAGGGTCCCTGGCGTTGGTCCCTTCAGAAAATAAAATAAAAAAAATTTAAAGAGAAAAAGGGCACATCAAAGAGTACCTACTACTTAGCTTACCCTCATGATATGTGGCCCATGAGTAAGGCGGGGTTAATGAGGCGAAGCTCTCGGGCATGATTGCATTGACCTTTGACTGGGTCTGGTATCTGCCAATGAAAAGTTTATACACTTCGCCCTGCACGTCGGTTAGGCAACAGTTACATGGAGCACTGCCTCGACAGTGGGACAACGCACTGTCGTCTCACCAGTCATCTTGTCCCTCGGTCTTCTTAGGCCAGCGCACATCATTTCTCGGCATCGAGCCTCCACTCTCACCGCCTATCAACCGGTTTATCATATGTCAGAGTCCACGAAGAGATTTCCTTTTCGTCACATTTCTTCACTCTCGGTCTATCCGAGTATGTAGCCGTAAATGGACAGTGTCACGCCATCAGGTGTCTACCCAGCAACCACGTCGTTGAAGAACCCTGTTCTCCAGAACTCCGACAACCCATAAGTTAGTTTGAGGCGAAGCAGGCTTCCTCATTTAGTCTATCATATTTCACAATGAAAAGAATGTTTTGGCATGCTGATGCGCAATACCACGATGAGACTAGCTCGTAACAGGTTTGAAGTTGTCAAACGCCCAGTGAGAAAGATGGTTCGGTCTATTCGTCAACATCATCTCAATTATCTCCTAGCTCGCTTAGGTGATTTTCGTGTCAACTTTATCCGAAATCACAGACATGGCAATAGAGCCTTGCCTAATTCAATGAAAACATCGCCGTCTGACCATTCGTCTTACAGTGTTTTGATGTCAGACTAGGGCTTTGGCTATCAATCTCAGTATTTCTTCCTTTCAGACAGTTCTGTCGATTTGGCCATCATCCTTGCGCGACTTTGTCCTCCTTTAGTGATATCGAGAATTCTGAGATTCAGCCCTCTCTGTTGTAGCGACGAACTCATGATCCGTAACTGTAGTCCACAGTGGGCGTTTTCGAGTGCTCCATACAGAAGATGTATATCATGGCGCCTCGAAAGAGAATGTATAGGTAGCTTTGTAGTCTCACATGTGTTGCTCTCTTCCTCTTCCCATCGCTTGAGAAACCTACACGTCTGAGACAGGGGTTATCTCCTACTGGGAAAGTTAGTTTGCCCATCTGTCCCTACCTACTCAGTCATACTGTCCTTCTACTGATCAAATTATTTAGAAGCTCACACTTTTAGGGAGACGCGCTTGGGGGTATTTGCTGTGACTACCAAAGGGTTCTTGATCCGACAGAGCTCCTGAGGTCATTCTAAAAGTAGGATGGGACCACAAAGTAGACATCCAGTACCTCGAAATCATAGTAGGTCCCCCCTTCCACTATCTCCCATCATATACATCATTGTTGGAAGTGAATACAAGTCAGCCAATTTTGGTAGGCATCTGAGGCACGAAGACCTCGCCCTTTGGGCGGTCGACAAATGTGCTATCTTGAGGTTTAACAAAATCACTGCTTCAATTCAAATGCTGATACTAATTGCTCGCTGAAAATGAGAGACTCGTGAAAGTCTCAACGCGCCACGCATGTCCACATAAGCGCCATTCACCATCAATGCAAACGTCATTGCCTCGTCGTTGTCCAAGGTTCTTAACACCGACAGCACGTCAAACAAACCGAATGTCAGGCTCACATAATAAAAGGCAACAAGAAACCAACGACTGAGAATCCCACAGCGCCATAGGTAAATGTCAGAGGAGCGGCTAGAATTCCGGTCAGTGATTGCAGTTGATTGGGATTGGGATCTTGCGGGGAAGTCTCACCTTGGCTATTATCATTTCCATTGCTTGTACCAGTGTCTACGCCACCAGAACCAGTGCGATGGGCGGCTGCTTTGACCTGGCTGGCATACGTGGTGTTGATTCCGAAAGCGAGCCAAGCAAACAATCCGTCACTGATGTTGTCGCCAAGCAAAGTATAGGCCATTACCGGATCGACACCATTGGCTTCTTCCGAAAAGATACTGTCGGCGGAGTTGGTTGTTAATTGCTGCCGATTGGTGGAATATGGCGAGAGCAGCTCGACAGCCGATATGAGGTCCTGGTCGAAGAACGTCTGTCCGACGTGGCTGGCATAGGTATCCCCTCCAAGGGTGCTGTTGCCCAGCTCCGTCACATTAGTGTGAACCATGATATGGATGTGCGTCGCGCGGCCTCGGTAGTGACCCGGGAAGAGAGTTTCGAATTGGGCGACACCATCGGCGTCAGTCTTTTGGATTCCTCTAAGGAATGTCTGGTTGATGTTGCTTGCATCCGAAGAGTCGCCATTACCGTTGGCGACGACGCCGGAGTAAACACCTGTTGAGTTGCAGTGCCATATCTCGACATAGGCGTCAGGGATGGCCTCGCATGAATCAACGTCAATCACCTGATAGTCGAGCGTAATACTGACGCCTTTCTGTCCATCAACCACATTCTGCCGAATGCTCTCTCCCGACACGTCTGTGGGTGGCGGTCAGTATCTGTTCCAAGTATTCATTAATCGAAGGGGGCAGAACCTACAGTACGGACCCTGTGTTACCTCGGGTGTGAGGACGCAAGAGTTGTTGGCAGCAAACAGCATCGAAGATGGGGTGTCAACGGTGAAACCCAAGTCGGTCTCATTATGCGACGTCGACAGCACACTGGCCGCATCACGGCTCTGAAGACCACGGACTTGTCGCGCTTCTTCAACTGCGGCAGCTCTGCGCTGAATGTTCCGAGTCTCCATGCCCCGCGCCCTCAGTGTCTCGGAGCAATGGCCAAGCGAGGCAGAGCGGACTGAGTTCCTGAACGATCGTCGCTCGAGGATCTCCTCGGTCAGATCATGGCCAGGATGAGCCAGGGCGAAACCAGCGAGAAGAATGGCCGCGTGCGCAGCGCTGAATACCTTCATGATGCCTGGCACTTGCTTCTCACAGGAGCCGTCGTAGAATTGAGCTTTGAGTAGTGATTAAGCTTAAGAGGAATAGAAACGGCGCTGTCAATTGAATCAAGCGGGATCCTTGTCTTTAATTGATCTGATCGTCTTTGTCGGCGATGGACGCGTGGACCAGACCCATGTACGGACTCCGCTCTACGGATCTGAAAAGGCCATCAGGGGCGCAACCAGTTACAAGCGAACGGAATGTCTGCAGGAGCCCACGCCCGGACGAATCTGGCTCTGGGAAGATGGAGGTGAAGAAACGAACAGATCCATTTCGGCCAACCTGGGGCAGCTCGAGGACTAGCGCCAGCTGATTCGATGTGCCTACGCGTCCTTTTCACGATGACCGCATTGGCCAATCAAGGCTTGGCATTTTCCAATGGTGCAAGGGCGTCAGACTCAGCCCCATCGGTAAGCTGCTCTCGTGACGTGGCCAGGGGAGACGGCTCCGGCTTGGTCCCATCTGTCTGTCTTTCGTGCGGCGTCATATTGGAGTAGAAACGATCGTAACGTATGCTCATTCCATTCTGTTAAGTGGCATTTGTTTGCATTGCTTGATAGGCTTAGCCTCTGACGCCCTTCCAAATTCTGAGGTTCGACGTGAGTAATATGCTGAGTGGGAGATCACTTGCTGTGGGTTGACAGGACGCAGTCCACCCCAAGTGTGTTGTAGTAAGACTTGGGTAACTTGACATCCGTTCGAGAAGAATAAAGACTGAGCTAGGAGCCTTGCATTAGTTTAATTTTCGGGGACAACGGACAGTTTTGAGGAGATACTTCACCGTTGCGAGCGTAGATATAGGGTAGGTGGTTACATATTTCGCCCAGCTTGGGAACAAGAATCCACAGTAGCCTGCTGAGTAATCTTGATCACGTGCCGAGGGCTGAATTTTGGCGGCCGCGATACGGTACGTACCTCAGAGACCCTGGCAATGATTGTTTATGGGAATTGTGAAGTTACCGCGATCCATCCCAGTCCACCAAACTCACGTGAACAGATGGCTTGAACATCCCAACGATCTCTTAAGTCTCCAGAACTAGGGACGGAGACTTGGTCTCGGCCTCCCCTCGATCGAAAAGGTCCTTGCTCCGAAGCTGGACCTCTGCGCGAACCTTGCTGACGCGATTCAAACGGGCCATGGCCTCATTCGCCACGGCAAGGACCGCCTCCTCTTGACGAGAAAGGGACTCATGCTAGTCCAACAAGCGGCTGACCAGGAAATTATCAGTAAAAACGACAAGAAGAGAGAAGTCTACACGAACGCTTGGGAGTAGTGATGTGTCATCATAGCTGCGACTACGACGGGTGCACTCATCGCAACGGGTCTTTCCCGTCGCGAACAGGCAACGCTTGCTGTTCTTGTGGCGGTAAGAGCATGGCAGCATATCAGGTAGAAGTAGTGAAACCTGACGCAAAGCCCTGGCAAGACGCGACGCTGTTGATTGAACCATCCTGGTACTTAGGAACATGAACAGTATAGTATATATGATGCCTCCTTCTGACTCCTTACAACCGCTCTTTTCCTGACGACTTCTCGGCAGCCTGCTTTCGTTCATGGAAAATATCGCTGGCAATACGAAGAGCATCTCTTCCGGCAGGCACGCCACAATAGATCATCGTGTGCCTAATGATCTCGCAAATTTGTTCCTCAGTCAGCCCGTTCTTGAGCCCTGCCCAAATGTGAAGGCGGAGTTCTGGAGCTCGGTTCAAAGCGACAAGCATCGCAATGTTGATCATTAATCGCTCTCGGAACTCAAGCCCTGGCCGGTCGTAGCTGGAGAAGCATACTTCAGCAATGTATTCCCTTCCAATCGAATTGGGAAGATCATCTCGCTGCCGCTCATGTTAGCTCGGATAATGATATATTCAGACAGTTTTTTTTTGCAGTCAAACATACGGCGTCTGCCCCGATCTTTTGTAAAGGTTCAGCTCCGAAGAACTCAAGCGCCAACCTTGCGCCAGTAGTGAGCTTATCGTCAGACATGGCGATAGATGGTGTTTGTGGGTGAGAGTAAAGCTGTTCGCTGTGTAGAGATGTTCACAATATGATCTAAGAGACTTTGATATTTACGTAGACTCCTTACGGTCAGTGGACTAGCTCATATACTCGCGTCTGGGACTGAATGCCGAACTAGCCAATCTCGGTACAATCATTCTCGGTACATTCATCTTGTATCCGAGAGTTTCGGCATGTTTTTACCACGCCGAAATAGCCGGAGTATGTAAGTTCTCCGAGACAGGCATAGTTTCTTCCACTTGCAGGCAGATCATGCAAGTAGGAGATACAAATACGCCTCTGTATGAACAGAGAGCTAGAGCGCTCGCCTCGGGGCATCCCTCGGTGTCGTTAGATGCGCAGATCACAGTGTTCATGAGAGCAATTTATATAACATGGTGGTCTGTCTAACAGGCTATCAATAACTGCAAGGCCTAGAACTACAATAGAACATGGAATGAAATGCTACAGCTTGAGTAAGAGCTTTCCGTTCGTGACCCTGGCCTTCATGTCTTTGTGTGCCTGTGCAACCTCTTCTAAACTATAAAGTCTCGTAGTCTTCACTTTGAGCTTGCCTTGTTTCAGTAAATCAAACACCCCATGAGCGTAAAACTCCAACTCCTTCCTTGTAGCAATATACATGGGCAGCGTTGGCTGGATAACCGACAGATTTTTGGCACGGATCAAGGAAAGATCCAAAGGAGGAACTGGCCCGCCTGTTGAGAGGATGGAAAGTTAGAGAGATTCGTACCAAGATGCGTAAGAAGTAGCACTCACTTGCACTTCCGTAAAATACAACCTTGCCTTGCCTTTCCGCTTCGTGACTTCGATGCTGCCTTTCCAGGTGTCTCTTCCGACGCTGTCATAGACCTGATAAACAAGTTAGCCGTTGTTTTGGGCGCGAGAGGGTTCACTATTTAATGCGTACCGCGTCAACGCCTTGATTATCGGTGAGTTGCATCACTTTTTGGACCCATCCAGGCCCATCAGAAGCTCTGTAGTCAATCACATGAGTAGCGCCCGATTCAAGTGCGACAGCACACTTTTCTGCCCCTCCGGCTGTTGCGATGACATTGACCCCTTCGTCGTGCAAAATCTGGCACGACAGAGAACCTACGCCGCCAGCTGCGGCATGAACTAGAACTGTTTGACCTTACGAGGCCGGGAATGCTTCTTTGACGAGACTGAGAGCGGTCATGCCGGCCAGGTGGCTCCCAAGGGCGTCCTTGTCGGGAATTTCTGGAGGGACTCGGATTGCCCGCACAGCAGGGGCAATGGTGAACTCAGCATATCCGGCTTGGCCTGCCCAGACCACTCTGTCTCCTACCTTGAACCCGTCGGTATTGTTTTCATGGGCGGCCACCACAACACCGATCCCTTCTTTGGCCGAGAATTAGAGGATATCCCGAAGGAGAAGGATACATCCCAGTCCTGTAGTATACGTCGACGAAGTTGAAGCCTGAAAAAGAGTTGCGGACTAGTAGTTGGCCATCGGTGGGTTTAGGTGTAGGCTGCGAGCCAATGTACTGGAGCTTCTCAGTTCCGCCGATGCCAGTGAGAAGGACAGCCTTCATTGTGGCAGGGACAGATTTGGGGATTGCCATTTCGATTGCGTAAAGTGCTCGACAGCTCTTCGTTCTCGAGGAAACTCAGCAGCTGGCTGGCCCAAGAAGATGACATGGTTCCATGCGTACTTGCGGTGATTTATGTGCTTGCACTACGATTAGTACCTATAGTCTGTCTGCCGAGAGGAACGACTCAGTGGCGTCCGCTTCTTCGGCTGCGGACTCGGCACAATTATTATGCCAACTGCTCCAGAATTAAGGGAGTTCAGAGCATCTTTTCGGTGGAGATGCCGAGGTGGACCGTTTCCAAAATGCGGGGAGAGTGTCTGGGGAAGACTCTTCAACTTCAACATCCTCGCAACGCAACAAGTAGCAAAAGGGGCCCAACGGCCTTGATCAAAGCACGGCTCTTCAAAAGCAGGCTTCGAGACTAGCTGGAATCGGCACATGACCACCAGCGAGCCCAATATTCCGCCAATTCGCCCCTGGGAATGGCGGCGAAATGCAGCCAAATAGCCGGGACCGAGCACGTATGGTTTGTACCTACTGTCATGCCAAAAAGGTCTGCCTATCTACTCGTAATCAAGACCTTGCTTTTGCTGAAAGTGGTGAAAGATCCGTTGTGACCTCCAGGACAGTTCCACGGGAGCATGCCGGAATTGTCAACGCAACAACCAACCATGCATGTTAGTACATCATTCTAAAACAGAGCCTTGTGAAGTCGTATACGTATAATCGGCTCAATCAATACTGACTCCCGCGTATTTAAGACAGAGAGATAGGACTCGAAGAAAGTCAAAGCCTCTAAGTTAACGGGCACAACGACGTGGCTCGCCTTTTGTGACTGCTCCCCATGGCTCAGGTTCTATTTCTTGACCGGCAGAGTCCAACCAACAAACCACACTTCCTGTTCATACACTTGCGGCACCACTAAAAACAGTAACGACTGCATCCGATAGCCAGAATACATATCTTTCTGCCAGTACCACAACAGAGACAGGCTATCTCGCATCACATTCAGTTTTACTCTCTAGAAACTCTAACAGCGTCTCCCGGCACTTGAGTTCTCCCGTGCAGCAGACGTCCGCTTTTATTCTAAGTCCAGTAGATGCAACTGTGTTGCCAAAGTTGCTACTCCGTCAGGCGTTGATCGACTCCTATTTCTCGAACCTCAGCCACGCCTATCCGGCCATTGACAGGCATGACATCTCCGGACCTGAGCCCTCAGTGCTGCTCACTCAGGCCGTTTGCCTGGCGGGTAGCATGATGCGCCGTACTGGAAGCTCAAAAGATCTAGCGCTCTCCCGAGATCTCTACGAAAAGACAAAGTTTCTCATCTACTTCAACTATGAGCCTTGCCGGTTGACGGTACTGAAGGCGATGTGCCTCCTGTCAATTTGGAGCCCAAATCCTTCAAACACCACGAGCTTGGACGGCCCATGGCATTGGTCAGGCTGTGCCATTCGAATGGAATGGCCATCCAGCTTGGCATCCATAAACAGTCCACATATAGTCAATGTCGAGACTCTGGGTGTCGTAGGCGGATCTGGTGGCATTTATTTGTGTGTTTCTCAATCTTTACGCGTATTATGTGATAAAGAACACCGCTGACATCGCCTTTTATTAGTGCAGTGATCGCTTACAAAGTTCTTGCTTCGGCCGACCGATAGCAATTCAGATTGGTGACTTCGACGTGGCTCCTCCTGCACTATCTGACTTTTCGGAGCCCAGTCTCCAAGCCAAAGCATTCATTGAGCATGTAAAGCTTTACAAAACCATAGGACGCGTCTCGCAGCTACTAAACACTGGTGCGTCACTCAATTCCGACGAGAGCTCGGCCCTGAAGGGTTCTCTCTGTCAATGGATACGCAGACTGCCGCCAGAGCTCTCCCTTTATGATGCAACGGGTTTACGTCAGCCTTACAAGAAGGAAGTCACCGGTTTGCACTTGGCTTATTTCACTGCCATCATTTTGTTGCAGGCCGCTACGAGAGGGTACAATTCACAATGGAGGGCATCCCCGATTTCTCTTCTCGCTTCATCCTGCATCGCTCGTCTCTACGAGGAAACCCAACTTCGAGAGGATGTGTGTTTCCTCATTCACATTCACAGCTTCTACTGCATGGTGGGGGCTATACCACTACTCTACTGGCGCACACGATCTCACACTAAGGAGAGTTGCCGCTTAGAGGAGCTGGGAATCTTGCGTTCAACCGTAGAACAGCTCTCCACAAGGTTTGGCGGCGCCGGCACAGTGCTGCGTAATATGGAAGCCCTGGAAACCGAGCTGCAGCAGAGAAGAAGCGAAAGCTCCATTGATGATATGATGCAGGCCGAAGAGAACATCGCCGCGGGAGATGGAGAACAGATGGAAGAGCTTTCCCATTTCCTCTTGAGCTCTGTCCAAATATGGATTTGCTTGACACTGCTGAAGCTGCCCGGATGGAGGAGTCATTGAACATCACCCATTCCTTTGTACAAGATCTGCCCGAGTGGATATTCGAGGACGCTTCATCTTGTCTGCATCGGCGCGGGAGCCAGCGGAATCAGCTTGATCCATACTCTCAAAGCACACCTTACCGATTACGAGATTACAGTGTACGAGAAGAACCCGCAGGTTGGAGGAACATGGTTCGAGAATCGTTACCCGGGGTGCAAGTGTGATATTCCCTCTCATAACTATCAATTTTCCTTCAACCGCAACCCCCAATGGAGCAGCTTCTTCTCCCCCGCTCCTGAGATCCAGGAATATTTGTGCCGCGTCTGTGACGATGAGAATATGCGGGAAGCGATCAAGTGTGGCCACAAGGTTGTTGAAGCGCGGTGGGAAGAAGAGGAAGGACTTTGGAGGATCAAAGTTCTGAATGACCAAACTGGAGAGTCTTTTGATGATTGGTGTCATTTCTTGCTCGATGCTAGTGGCATTTTGAAGTAAGTCTTGTTTATTTAATCCTGATCCTTTTGAGACGAGTTCCACGAGTCGCCAATCGTGGCTTTACTAACAAGATACAGCAACTGGAAGTGGCCAGACATTCCTGGAATCCAGTCTTTCGCTGGCGATCTGGCTCACAGCGCAAACTGGCCAGAGAATTTCGACTGGGCTGGCAAAAAGGTTGCCCAGATTGGAAACGGCTCTTCCGGAGTTCAGATCCTGCCCCATTTACAGAAAGGAAAGTGTGAGGATCCTACTTGATCGTGACTCTTAGTACTGACATGCCATGAAAATTAGGTGCCGCACAGGTTGTGCATTTTATACAGGAGCCAACTTGGATCGTGCCTCCGAGGGTGGCATCCTTGGCTCAGGGTAGAGCTGCCGACACAATGAGCCAAATCGAGTTGAATGAGAGAGAAGAATTCACGCCATCTCAAATTGAAAAGTTCAAGGCCGACCCCGAATTCTATTTAAAGTTAATCAAGGCCATCGAGGTTGAGGTCAACGGCAATTTCCAATTGTGAGCCCACTCAGCCCTGGCGAGCGAGCCCAGCTGACTCTCTCTGTCTTGATGCAGGTTCTGAAGGACACTGACTATGCCGCTGCCGTCACTCGAGGAGTGACCAACTACATGTCTGCCTTACTGGGAAACAACAAGCGCCTTTGTGATGCTCTCATTCCCAAGTTTGAACTCGGGTGTAGGCGACTTACGCCTGCAGTCGGCTATCTTGAGTGCCTCCGCGCTCCTAACGTCACCGTTGTGACCGAAAGGATTGTTGAAATCACCCCGAAAGGCCTCCGTACGCTTTCAGGGGAGATGATTGAAGCGGATGCTATTGTTTTCGCAACTGGCTTCAACGTTTCATTCTGCCCTCGTTTCCCCCTGGTGGGACGAAACGGCAATCTGCAGGATACATGGACACGAGCACTCCCGAAAGCCTACATGTCTTGCGCAATTCCCGACATGCCAAACTATTTCAGTGCGTACCCATCCCTGCAGCATGCTGCCGAGGCACTATTCAAACATCTAACCATGCCGTTAGTCTTTCTCGGACCAAACGCTCCAATCGGGCACGGCAGTGTACTTACCATTAGTGAACACATCGCAAAGTACATCGTTCGCATCATCCGCAAGTGTCAGACCGAGGGCATCAAAGCTCTTGCACCCACCCACTCTGCGGTTGACGAGATGGCTGAGCACATTGACAAGTTCATGCCTCGGACGGCATGGGCCGGAAAGTGTATTTCATGGTTCAAGAACGGAAAGGTAAATGGGCTAGTCACGGCACTGCATCCGGGAAATAGGATCCATTTCTTTCACATGCTTGCAGAGTTTAGAGGGGAAGACTGTGAGTACGCCTACACGGTGGGCAGAAACCGTTTTAGATATCTTGGGAACGGATTCTCAACCAAGGAACTTGGTGACTCGGACTTAACGTGGTATCTAGATGAGCCCGATAAGTTGTAAGGTGAATTTTGCATCTGATGTATCAAATTCCCTGTCTTTCCCATTGAAACCGAGAGGAATGTCACACAACAACAGATTTCACGAGGTTTCTTTTTAAAATGTCCTAATCACAAACTCTCTAAGCACTTCCTAGTCACCATCTTCTATTGTACAGGAAAGCTATGTAGGAAGGTTATATCAAGAGCTTAAAGACAGTCAAGCCACGGTTTAGTCCCCATCTCTTAAACGGATTTCAGTTTGTAGATGACACGATCCTTAAGCAACTGGGGCGTGTCAGGGTCATGACTTGGCAGCACTACAACTTCCGTCTTCTTCGCAAATTCCTTGAGCAATTTCAAGTTCTCTAGCGCGCCGATGGGATCGCCGTTGATCCCATCCGGCTCCTCCTTGTCAAGCACGTCAATGCCGTATGCGACGTCTCCAGGAAGGAGATACGTCGTCTCAACTCCGTCAGAACTGGGTCCATAAACAATCAGAGACATGTGCCCGGGGACGTGGCCCGGCGAGGGGATAGCAACAATACGCCCGTCTGGTGAGATCTTGGCCGACTGCTTCCATGGTCCTACAGGGCCATCGGAGAAGTCGAGAGTTCGAGGCTCGAATGGGTCTGGCCATCTTCTTGGATTACAGCCTTGCATGGTCGCAAAGACTGGACTATTGCCGAACGCTTCCCAGTGATCTTGACTCACATATACAAGGACGTTTGGCGCCTCAGTGACCAGATCCAACAGCCCAGGCTCAGCACAATCGCCTGCAGGTCTTTGGGTTCAACCCCATTAGCCTTGAGCTGCTGCACGATTCCGTCTTCTGGCCCAATGTCCGTTGTGCTGAACATGCCAATAGGACTCCAGAAAGGCTTGAATCCAGGGTCGTTGACGTGGGGTGACTCGCCCGTGTCGAATAGAATAGGGCCATTGGGGTGGGAGATGAGAAAGACGCCAATCGGAAGACTGTCGGACCACTGCCGATCAATCAGGGATCCAAATCTTCGCATCGTGCTGTTTCGATTCGTGATAGGCTGGCCCTTCATCGCGTGCTTGATTTTGACCGTGCCCGTGGTGAAGAATGTGAGCGTGATGGGCTGCTTGCTGTCACTCTTTGATGTGTCCATGGTTGCTCACGAGGATCGATGAGACGCGGTGTGATTGAGACTTTAAATCCTGCCTTTATTTTTAGATGCGAGTTTAATAATTAACTATGGGCACATCATACTTTTGAACCTGCCGCGGTTCAAGTGCCGAGCGGACTTTGAGATCAATTGTGCCGATGCCGAATGCCGGTGGCGACTGCGGACTGTCTCCAAGGCGTCTTCTCCGAGCAATCCCATTGCATGACTTGAATGTAAATGGCGGTTACTTAGTCTGTGATTGCGGAGAAGTGATGCACTATCCTAAAGCTTAGGTACAACGGAGGATCAGTCCAACTCCTTGATCGAATCCTCGACGCTCTTGATATTCATCTTCTCTGCATCGTTCAGTAGATCCCAACCTTCAACCATGTTGATTCCCAAGGCTGCCTCATCCCACAAGCCCGCAGCTTTCTTCCGAGCTATGTATTCGAAGAAAACCCACTGGCTTGCCTGTTCTTCACCCATGGCGCCCCAAAGTGCGACGTAATCTTGGACACTGAGCTGCACAGCCTTCGTGGATCTTACGGCGGGGGAAATACCACTGGTGCGGCCCCAGAGAGCGAGATAGGACTCGAGTTTGAGATCTTCAACGTTGCATCTCACGTATGTACCACCGGCCGGAGGTCTCTGCATGATTGCCCGGATGAAGACACCTGAGTTGGTGGCATGATCTCCGACACATGGGTAGGGAGACTTGGGGTCGGTAGGGTAGAATTGAACCCATTTCTGTGCGCTTTCCTGCACATTATTTGGTCAGCTGGCTGGTCATGTTTTTGTGTGCACAAGGAAGAGCTTACAACCCAGACCGGGCGGAAAATGGGGTACTGATGCATATTGACGGCAAAAATTGTGAACAAGGTGAATGTCGTTTTCTCGTAGAGACTGGGAAGATGTTCCTTGATGTACAAGTTGACCCGACCTTTGCCGTCAAAGTGCGGCACAACAGCCTCGTTGTTGGTCAGAACAGACGTCGGGGGAAGCGTACTCCAAACATACGTCTGGAGAGTCTCTATCTTGGAAGCAGCCCTCGCCAAGTTCGTGCCATAGGTGAACTCGCGCTCCATGGAAGCGTCTTTGCCGATCTGGAAGAAGAAATCGTAGTGGTCTGTCACGGCGAAGATAGCGAGGGCGCCTTGGAACGCTTCCGTGAGGCTCGCCTCGTCTTTTTGGTCTGCTTGGACCATTTCCACCCCCTTCTTGACGAGCGCTTGTGCTTTTGCGCTTTGTGTATTGCGAGCCACGCCCCGGACGCCATACTCGGGGTCGTTTAAGAAGGCATTGACCACGCCGCCACCTTGACCCCCGGTTGCGCCAACGACAACGATAAGTTTCTTAGCCATCTTGGTGTTTAACAGGGATCGGGGAATTGGGTTCTCAGTAGTCAGCTTAGAAGAAGCTCGTCAGTTACCGACTCACACAGAGGTGTTTTAGATTTGATTAGAGTTGAATAAGTCGATGTGCATCATACGACTCCATATGTTGTTATAAGTATTCCCACCAATGTATACGAATCTTGTGACTTTATTCCTCCAGATCTTGTGTTCGTCCGCGGCGGAGCTCGGGATATTGAGTTCAAGTCTGTAATGGCGCTTTGGGGATCTGTATCCTTCTCTCCTTGCCGGCTAAGTAATCTAGCGATCGGCTCATTCGAAGAGCCGAAGCTCGGTAACTTCGGATCTCAGTCGGTAGCCAGCAGATCATAGTTGTGCCTCTCACGGCTAGTTATGTTTGCCATAACTACGCTATACTAAGCCCGGCAAAAGTGGCATGGGGATTGAATGAAAATCAGAATCTGGGGAAATTCTCATCGGCTTTCTCATGAATCTGGGGAAACGCGGGGTTCAGCCGCTGACCTGGCAAGTATATCACAGTCGTATCATCACCTTACGATGTAGATTATCAGAACCAGAACACGACCTCTTTCTTTTACCCATATCGTATCTTCAGACTTCCCTCAACTCGTTGTCAAATGGCCGTCCCTCCAGAAATGGATAAAAACAATCTTCCAGAAGCTCGTCACCAAGAGATAGCTGAAGTAGATGCGGGAATTCCCACACTCACCGACCATGGGGTTGTCTCAGGTCCACTACGACACTTGAGCCCTGAAGAGAACAAAAGAGTGCTTCGTCGTATTGACCTGGTTCTGATGCCGATCATGTTCATATCCTATGGCCTCCAGTATATGGACAAGGCAATCCTAGGAGCGGCATCTCAATTTGGTGTAGTTGAGGAAGTTGGCTTGTATGATATTGTAATGGCCAATGGGAAACCACAAATTGACCTCACTAAATTTTCTTTGGCGACCCTTATATTCTACTGGGGGTTTGCCGCAGGCGGTAAGAAAGTATATGCCGATTCCTACAACTGAGTGCTCGTCTTGCTCACGTCAATGGACAGCTTTCCCAGCATCCTTCCTCTCAAGCCGGTTCCCCATCGGAACGTTTTGCGGGGCATCTGTTTTCATATGGGGTCTTGTCACAATGGCTGCTGCGTTGGTTCACTCATATTCGGGCATGATGGCTCTACGGTAAGGTTGCCTTCGCTAGCTACGATGTTAAGATAAACTCGTACTGACTTACAAGCTTTAGATTCTTCCTTGGTTTCATCGAAGCCGCTATTCCAGCAGCCTTCTCGCTCATTATTGCGATGTGGTACAAGCCAGATGAACAGCCTCTCCGATTTGCCATCTGGGTATCTGCAAGCGTTATCGGAGGGGTGCTTGGCACTGTTCTCCTCTGGGGAGTCGGCCACATCAACGGCTCACTGAGCCCTTGGAAGTATCAATTTACTGTTCTCGGAGCAATAATTTCAGCCTGGGGAATCTTTCTCGCTATTGCAATGCCGAGATATCCTGCTTCTGCTTATTTCTTATCTGGGAAAGACAGGACTTTGGCAGTGGACAGGATCCGCGCCTGTAAAACAGCAGCAAAGGACGAGGGCTTCAAGCTTCATCAGGTCAAAGAGGCTTTCCAGGACCCCAAGACATGGGCTTACATCTTCGTGACATTAAGTTGTCAACTAGCAAATGGTGCTGTACCGGGATTCGGCCCTATCATTATAAGTTCATTTGGATTTGGCCCGCTGCAATCAGTTCTCATAGCAGGCTCTTTGGGAGGTACCTTGTTCCTGTCGATGGTGGCAGTCGGGCATGTCTACGATAATTTCGCAAATATGAACCCCGCTAAACTACTCACAGACTCATAACTTCATTTATCCCCATTCAGAAATGCAATGTTGCGTTTGCTACCTGCTTGCTAATCATCATAGGGTGCGCTATTGTTTGGAAGGCGTCGTGGAAGTCTCTTGGAGTACCCCTTTTCGGCTTCCTCCTTGTCGGATTTTTCGCTACTCCTTACGTGATGATCCTTTCCCTAGTCACAGCAAATACGGCAGGCCAGACGAAGAAGGTTGTTGTAACTGGATTGGTCTGGTTCGCATATTGTGTGAGCAATGGTGTTGCTCCGCTTCTTGTCAGGTCGACAGAGCAAGCGCAGCACTACCCTTCGCTTTTTATTCCCATTCTCTCTCTACTTAGCGCGGGGCTACTTGTTCTTGTTGCGCTTAGATGGTACTTGGATGCTTGCAACAAGAAAAGGGAAGCAGACGCTCTTTCTAATGGGGGGAGCACTCAATCTCCTGATGAGACGGCGTCTTTGGATTTAACGGACAAGGAAAACCCGAACTTCCGTTATCATCTCTGAGTCAGTATCAACTGTAGGACCACTCATTGTATTTAGCACCTGGTAATCTTCAAGTCCTTTTACTATATTCTGTTTGAACTATGATTTTGGGGGCTAAGAAGTATCACTATTAAAGCTATCTTCTATTAAGCCTTACTCGCGGATTGCTAGCTTGCGCTTCATAGGATCATAAATGGCGCCTCGGGGTCGTGCTGGGATAGGAGGAGTATTTTGTCCAGGTTTGAGGCTGTCGAGGTCCGCATGAAAAGCTAGCTCATTTAGAAAGTTGGCAACGACACGCGTGTGCCAATGGCCGCCGCCCGTCTCATACCAGCAAAGATGACCGCCCAAGGACGTCGTCAGAAGGACGGTATCGGGGTTCTGGCGAAACTCCGCGTACGGAAGAGCTTCCTTCACAGCAATCTAAGAAATGTCAGAAGCCTAGTCGATGCTGATGCTCTATGCATGTCATCTTACGGGATCATCGGTTGCGTGGATAGCAAGGAAAGGAATTCTGATCGATAGCACGGCGTCTACAGATGAGGCGTCTCGATAGTACGCGTATTCGGTGGGATAGCCCCAAGTTGGGCATCTTTGCACGGTCAGCATCAGTCATAATAAGATATTGGTGACGGTTCATAAACTCACTGAACTTCGCGATCGAATTCGTTAAGGTATTTTATCTTCTCCGTGGTCGAGATATCAAGGTTGGTGAACATTTTAAGCTCCTTTCGATGGACATGCATGAGCGATTTCATGCAGGCTAAGGGAGGCTGGTCAACACTCTCTTCAAGCGACCCTGATCTAGTAGGGAAAGCATACTCACTTGCCATGTAACGAAGGTAGATCTCTTTGCCAATAAGGCTAGCTTGTAAGAATTTGCTACTAATTTCGAGATTGAAGGGGTTGGAGCAAACAACGGCTGCCTTGAGCATGCAGTCTGGACCTTCCTCACCGCAGTACTGCGTTACAGAAATTAGCTCGTTTCACAGCCTTTCTTGTTCTTCAGCAGCTTACATTTGTGAGTATATTGGCACCCAATGAGAATCCCAGCCCAAAAAGAGGTCTGTTTGGGAATGTCTGCCTTAACCACGAGACTGTTTGTCTAATATCCCAAGTAGACCGCGCATTGTACAGCAAGCCGCTCGTAATTTTGCTCCCTGCGCAGCCTCTGGAGTTGATTACACAAATCTCCCACACACCTTCCTCTATCAGAGGGGCAATAGTATGGCGCAAGTATGTTTCGTGTGAGCCTCCCGACAGTCCATGTAGAACGACAAGCATTGGCTTTTTATCGAGTGAACCTAAGCTCTCGAGCTGTTCGTTGCTAAAGTATCCAGTGCGATTTGGGAGATCGGTATCGGGATCATTGAAGGGTTCGACAACGAAATCCACCGCGAAGGATCCATGATACAGTTGGTGGTCAGCATTGAAGACCTTCCGGCGGTAGTACACTGGCGGGCCGTGTGCTTCCATTGCCGCCCATATCGTCTGCATATGGCCATTGAATAGCAGGGGACTGAGCTGGCATGGCGGTGTGGCCTCCTCAACGATCTTTAGAAGATCCGTTTTTTGGCCATCCTTGTATGTCACAACTCTAGGTGATGGTGCGTGTGTGAACTCGATCGTGGCGCGGCCAATCCACTCCATTTTGGCGCTACAAGGTAGCGAAAAAGGTGTTCTAGGGATAGTCGGGCCTGGAGAATAGGAGGAGATACTGGGAACAAGAACCCACGACTGGTGTAAGTGCCAGTGGCTGTGAAGCTCACAAGGGATCAACTTGAACCAGCCCCAAAAAGTCACCTATGGTTTGCGGGGGTTTATACTCAACCGCCGGGAACTACGGAAGTTCTTAGGCTCGACTATCTGTGGACGGCCCGGGAGATCTGTCTAGGTCTACTTTGGTTGCAGTAGATAACAGCGTACATGGCCGACAACCGTAACATCGCTTGCAGTTTGAGCACTGAAAGATTGCGACGTGCCCCTCTGATGATGTAGTCGTTGAATTTGGCTAGACTTACGGGTGCTTCCGGATACGAAGTGCCAATCTTTACCAAGCCGGTATCGCTTCTTCTCACCCTCATCATGGTTTTATCTTTACTATGCTCACCCTAGCCAACTGCGCTGTAACCCTCCAAGAGATGTCTGCGTCAACCCCACCACAGGGGTATGAGCAAGAATGTCATGGCCGAATCCTGAGGTAGTATGTGTCTCAAGGCCGAGTCATTTCCTATCGGAGAGCCGTCCTTACGCTCTTGGTCATGCCCATCCTCCACTTACCCAAGTCCACCCGCTGTGTCAGAGGAATTCTGGGTTCACATAACTATCTTCGGTGCGTTTATTTGGCTGTCTTTATCTGTGTAATAGTCGAAGTCCCAGGAAACAAGGACGCGATGATGTTGTTCAATACTTGGTTTGCAACCACAATTACCTGCGCAACTATAACTGTGCACGGCGGATTATTACTCTCTTACGTTTTCCTATTTGCTGTATTAGGCATAATATGTCTCGCCATCGCAAAGCCTCCACGAGATGAAGTTCCCTGTTTCAGGCCCGCAGGGTCATGGGTATCCTTCTACACAGCCAAGGTATGCTCGACTCACTCCCTTGCGACAATGTGATGCGAAGTACACTCGGAAACCTAATCTAGAAGAGCGAAGCGCCGGTTCGTAACATCAAGTCGTGAGCTTCTTTCAGAGGCCAGGAACACATTCCCAGACCGCATTTTCCGTATCATGACAGATTTAGGCGAAGTGATGCTTCTCCCTCACCAGTTTGCCGAGGAGATCAAAAACGACCACAGGTTTAGCTTCACGACTGCGTTCGAAAAGGTTTGTGTAGCTCAGACCGCAGAAACTGGTTACTTTAGGTCGCTAATGCGCGCTCTGTCTCCAGGATTTCCATGCTGGGATCCCTGGCTTTGAGACCGCCGAGCTTGGCGGGCTTGAGAACGGGCTCTTACAGCTTATTGCACGGAAGCAGTTGACGCGGAATTTAGGCAAGTCTCATACCGTCCCGAGTGCAATGGGTCAACTGGGAAGTTAGGAGGACTGCCTAAGTGCTTCAGAGCTAATATTCAATTCGAATGCAGGCGAACTTAGTACAGCTCTGTCCGATGAGACGGCCAATGCTTTAGCCATCAACTTCGAATCATCCGGAAGTGAGTAAGACCCTGGGTCAGCGAACCGACGCTTTGAATTCAAGCTGCTCACATAAGCCGCCCAAGTGTGGACTGAAGTTGTAGCCAAAGACCGAGTACTCGATATAGTAGCCCGTGTGTCCTCCCGAATCTACCTTGGAGATGAGGTATGCCGCAATGCGCGATGGCTAGCGATCACCAAACTCTACACAACTCACTTCTTCACTGCGGCTACCAAGCTGCGCATGTACCCACGCATCGTCCGTCATTTGGTCCACTGGTTTATACCTGAGTGCAAGCTTCTCCGCTCGCAGTTCAACGATGCCCAGAAGATTCTACAACCAATCGTCGACCGCCGCAAAGACCTACGGCGTGCCGCTGTAGCTACTTGTGAGCTGGTCCCTGAGTTTGACGACGCTCTGGGCTGGGTTGAACGAGAGGCCGCCGCCAAATCTGTTGACTGCAATCCCTCGATTTTCCAGCTTCTGCTATCAACAGTATCTATCAATACCACAACCGATCTTCTCGAGCAATGCATGCTTTACCTAGCACAAGATCCGGGCATCATCAGTTCTCTCAGAGAGGAGATCCACGATGTCCTGCGCCACCACGGCTGGTCCAAATCCTCGCTGTCCAACATGAAGCTTCTGGATAGCGTCATCAAAGAGTCGCAACGTTTGAAGCCAACTAGTATCGGTGAGTAGGTTTTTTTTCAAGAAAAGGTGAAGCACGCCGGCACCAGGCTGACTGCTAGTTTCACGAAAGCGGCCATGCGACGACTTGTTGAAGAAGACGTCACCCTCTCGAATGGAGTTACTCTGAAGAGGGGCATGCGAGTCTACGTGGATGCTTCTCGAATGTGGGATCCCAATCTGTACCATCACCCAGAGCAGTGGGATGGATATCGCTTTCTGAAGTTACGCTCCATTCCAGGCAGGGAGAGGATGGCCCAGTTGGCGAGCACCAGTCCAGACCATCTCGCCTTCGGACATGGGGAGCATGCTTGTCCAGGACGATTCCTGGCTATCAGTGTTATCAAGATTGTCCTCTGCCACTTGCTACTCAAGTATGATTGGATGCTCTCACCAGGCACGGATGTCAAACCAGTGACAAACGGTATACTTGCCGTTTCAAGCCCGACGGCCAGATTGCTTATCCGACGGCGTAGAGGAGCGGCGGCCGCCCCGGGTGTGATTGAATAAAGGGTGAATGATGGGGAGGTGGGGGAAAGCTCTGGCAATCGCTGACGCAATGCCAACACGTTCCTAGATCTTCGTCTATAGTTACGTAAATGTATGCGTGTTACGCAAATGTATGCGTAATAAACCTGTTTTTCATGCGCTTACAAAGTAGTGAATTACAAGATAGTGAGTAGCAAGCTGGACATACCGTCTGCCCGATATGGCCCGAGGGCATATGAATGTCACTCGGGCTCCCCCCGAGGCCCGAACAAACAGAAGATGGCCTGATGTCTTCCACCCGACCTGCGGGAAGCCATGTTCAATTCTTATCTGATTGAGGGTGTTTGAGGTCTAGAACGCCGCGGCAGGTTGCAGCGCGGGCCTATGCATGAAGCACACCATTGTCTCAACTCGGCCCGAAACCAGGATTTGCTTGCCGTCAGGGATAGTATAGACCTGCGCGAATGACCTAAACCCCTATACCTTGCCCATCATTTCCGCTGACCCGGTGCCAGAGCGAGTACTACGGTGCCTATAGCTATTCTTGGAAAGTGACATTAAGAAAAGCAAAGAATTGCCTCATTCTATCGCATTCATTCAGTTACGTTCGCGCGAAGTTTCTAGACGTCTTGGAATCTCGGTGAGCCCGGAACACGAGAAACTTCGTCAATGCGAGCCGCCAATGAGAAACGACGCGGAAGTAATCGTGATCGATGGATTGCAAGTGCAGGCTTCTCTTCTCACGACAAGAGCGCGTAGATGATCATTTGGTGTAGTTCCCCTTCAGGCATGCTGGCATTCAGAGACTGGAGAACTAACGGCTACGGAAGAGAGTTGAAGTATAATGTTAAAACAACAATAAAAGGTCTTAGAACCAATATTTCAACACAATGAATAGAATCAACCACTACAAGCAGAGATAAGGGGGAAACGAAATAAATTCATCTACGTGTGATGCAGATTGACTAACTACTTCAAGTATCATGGTTAGAGACATATTCTGGAGCTCGTATTGGCAATAAGGGTGGCACCAGCATTCTTCCCCACGGATTCCCAGGGACGCACTCTACCCAGCAGCAGTGGCCGCCTAAACCGAGGCCGTTTCAAGGCTGGGACGCCTTGGAATAAGGATTGCCTTCCAATGACCGGTTGCGAATTGCATGGTGATGTACTGTCTGAAGTCAATATCTTGGCCCGAAACCTCGACAACATCGAACCTCGACAAGATATTAGCCGCAATCATCCTCATCTCAGCCCAGGCAAAACTAGAGTCAAAGTCAGCTCATGGAACTCCTGCCTGCATACGTGGAAACTGATACATACTTGATTCCAATGCAGGAATGCTTGCCAGCGGAGAACGGATAATACGCATCTAAACTGTAGCGAAGTTAGCTGTACCGCTTCTTTCATGTCATGGCTGGTCAATGGGTCTGCCGTACTCAGCTGGAGGTGCCTCTCCTCTCTCCCCTTCGGGGAGGAAACGCTCGGGCCAAAATCGTAGAGCCTGTGGAAAGTACTGCTCATTGCGGTGAAGGTCCCGGTAGGATGCAGAAACCACAGTATGGGGAGGAAGGTCATATCCCACCAGCTTGACCCACTGGTCACCGGTACGGCGGCCCATTTCAGACGCTATTGGGTGTAGACGGAGGGTCTCTTTGATGCAGGCCTCGAGGTACCTGAATTGTGGCTCATTCCTGACGGACTTTGAAGTGACGATGTCGTCATTCATGTCCAAGACAGGCAGTGTCTCTAGCAGTCGGGCTCGCACGCTTGGGTTGCGCGCGAGCTCAAGAAACAGGCAAGCAGTTGTGCCAGAGGTGGTCTCGGAGCCGGCAAGGAGGACCTCCGACATCTGGTCTACGATGTCGCGCGTGTTCATGGTAGTGAGTGTGTCAGGCTTCTGGCCCTCATCCACGAGATGCTGAAGCAAATCGGGTCGAGCGAAGTCGGCGCTCTTATGGCGCTTCTGGACGACGGCATCGATGGCCTGCGCCATGACTGTCAGTACTTTCCTGAACATCTATTCCAGGCGTGCAACGGGGGAGGTCTTACCACGATCATCTCTTTGGGCCAGTCAAACTTGACATCCAAGCCCATTGCCCTGAGAAATCTTTTGATGTAGACTGTCTAGAGATAGATTTACACGTTTTAGCGGCTCGGGTTGGTAGGATTTGGTTTGAACGAATAGCATACCTGGTATCTCTTACTGAGCCCATCGAAAATGGACCTAGGGATCGACTTCCAGACTTTCTCATCAACACCATCTTCAATCTCACCGTCTGGGTTCGTTTGTCCAAATCCTCTACCAAAAGAGCACTCGCCCATACTATCCATCTAGGGTCAGTATCATGTGGATCCGAGGGTAGGGGCTATGCCTCACATGTCGAGAGCAACATTATGAAGATCGTCCATCAAGTCTACTTCATAACCGCTCTGGACCGGGCCAACAACGCTGACATTGGTCTGGTACTTATCGAGCAAGCTCCTAATCGTCTTAGCAAAGAAGACGTCTAGATTATCGACGTAGGAGACTGTGAAAGCAGGAGATAGAAAGCGCTTGAGCCTCTTGTGTGGCATGGGCCGACTGTAGGAGGACCAAGGCCATCCGTCAGTATTGTTTTATATTGTCAAGATGGGGGCATAGAAGCACTCAACACACATTTCACCAAAGAGACCAGGACTATGTCTGTCTCGAGAGATTTCGGCGTACATAGCCACTTTAGGTAGATCGACCTTGAGCAGGATCTGCTTCATAGCCTCTTTGTCAGAGATCCAGACCTGGCGAGGCCCAAGGCGGACAATGGGTCCGTAGGCTTTGTGGCTCTGCTCCACAAGCTTCCAGATCTTCCCGGTAGCAAAGCCATACCGCAAGTGCAAGGTGGTGAAAGGGCTATACCACGGCCCCGGGATGTGGCGCAGAGGGGATCTAAGGGCTCGGAAAACCCCGTACAGGTACTGAAGGGTCAGAACCAAGACCAGAGTCACACTGAGAATGACAAGGACCCTTGTGACCTGCCGGAGAGGAATGTTGACTTCCATAATGGAACAATAGTAGACAGTGACGTGAATATAGGGAGATGATAATAGAGCTAGACGAGGAGCAGGAATTTGAGTTGTTTGTTCTCCGAGGAGGAAAGCGTGCAGCTAATGCCCCTACTTATAGGCTGCCATGAGACACCCTATCCCCTTTGCGAGAATAGAAACCCTGTTTCCTGATGTAACTGTCTTATCTGAGTAGTACTCGCCTATTACCCCTTTTTTATTATTTACTATTTGTAATCCCGCTCTGCAGCTGCATCATTCGACTATGACGCATTAGCAGGATGTCATCGCTACGGGTAACTCTCGTTCTATATGAAGCGCGAATGTTCCTAGGATCGAGACGGATTATCGTTGCTTCGACAGACAAAGTTCTAACTAGAAACGATTACCATCATAGTCGCGGTACGACCAGAAGCATTGGAAGCATGTCTCTTAAGGAAAAGCCCTCTGGCGTTGATTCTCGCCATGACGAGGTCAGTTGCTCTCATAGACATCAGAGGCCACTCCTCGCTTGCAGCTCCTACCCAGAATGGTGCTAACATATTGCCGCAATTTAGGTGCCCGACATCAAAGTCCTTCGCAATAGTATCCCAACACACTGCTTCGAGCCCTCCGCATTGAAGTCACTTGCCTATCTAATCCGCGACTTTGTAATGGCTGGTGCTCTTCTCGTGGCCGCCAGTCGTTTGATACCAATCATTCCCTCTCCAGGCATCCGCGCGGCCACTTGGGTACTGTATGGATTCACCCAAGGCCTAATTGGAACAGGGCTCTGGATCCTCGCCCATGAGGCTGGACACGGTGCGTTCTCGAAATATTCTCGCCTCAACGACTTAGTGGGTTGGATCACTCACTCGGCTTTGCTGGTGCCGTACTTCTCATGGAAGTTTTCGCACCACCGACATCATCTGTTCGCTGGCCATTTGGATAAGGACATGGCCTTCGTACCAGAGATCCGAGACAGCCACTCCCAAAATGCTTATGTGTCAGTCATAGGCTCTGACCTGCTCGAAGATATCCCAATCGTGCAGTTTGTCCGCCTTATTGTCCACCAGTTAATCGGGTGGCCACTCTACCTGTTCTTCAACACGTCCGCTGGGAAGGGCAGCCTGCAACGGCCCACAAGCAACGCATTCCGTAAAAGTCACTTCGACCCATTCAGTGCGGTTTTCCGCCGGAGCGAGGCCATCTATGTGGTCTACTCTGACATAGGGGTTGGGCTCATGCTTGCACTCCTGTACTGGGCATGGGAAAAAGTGGGTTTCCTCACTCTGATGTTACTGTATGGTCAGCCATATCTTTGGGTTCATCACTGGTTGAGTAAGTTCCTGGACGAGCGGCCGCCGTCCCACAAGGGCAACTTTTGCTAACGGGTGACAAGTCGCCATAACATATCTGCATCACACGCACATGGATGTTCCCCATTTCAGAGCCGACGGCTGGACGTTTGTGAAGGGGGCTTTGGCAACCGTCGATAGAGATTTCGGCTTCATTGGACGCCATATTTTCCATGGCATCATCGAATACCATGTGGTGCATCACCTTTTCCCGTAAGTCTATCAGGTCTCTAAAGCAACGCTTACTGATCCTCGAACTTGCTTAGCCGCATCCCGTTCTATCACTGCGAAGAAGCAACTGAGGCAATTAAGCCCTTGCTTGGGCGACTCTATCGGCGAGACAACTCCCCCTTCCTCTGGCAACTCTGGACAACATTCAACTCATGCAAGTTTGTGGAGGATGACGCGGAGGAACCCGGAGCGGCAAAGTGGGCCAGGGAGGGGTGAAAGTTCGTCACCATTCATACGTATAGTAGTTAAGATGCGATGGGCCTGGTGAGAGCTTGTTGACGAGGGACATGGTGAAACGCTCTCATTAGTGTGTAAGATGAGCGAAGAGGACCCAAAAGCTAAGCGAGAATAGAGTGGGACCTTGAAGATAGGGAATTAAAGAACTTGGAATCAAGGAAGTCCATATGCCTTCAGGCCGGGGTTTGATTCGACTGTCATGTTACGTACAGCCGGCGTATCGCGCTCGGCCCTGTATTACCTCTGCGAAACCTGACAGAATTATGTCACTAGACAAAAGGAAACTCCTACGACTGGCTTTGTCAGGTTGGCCCTGTATGTCGCCACACCCACCGTAGTTCCTGCGGCATAAATGTGACGAGTAACTATCTTCAAATTAGTCTTACACCCTACACCTAAGGGTTGTTGTCTTCTAGGTGCGAACGTTGAGCTATAATCACGTAATTTGCGGAGTTTCACTCTGAAGTTGCAAGTTTCTAGATAGGGTTGCCTCATCCCTTCCGGGCCCATCACTATGACGGTTAAGTTGCTAGGCAAAGAGAAATCCTCAGACCAGCTTTCTGGGGATGACCCAATATGTCGCCACAAAACCTACATAAGTCGATAGGTTGAGTACTATCGCTCAAAACCAGGGTTTCGAGACCTTGGATGACACTGAGGGTGGGGCAACAGCTACGGTAGTTGCTTCAGAGTGACATCCAGGGGTCGGAATACCGGGAGGTTGCCGCAAGCTACTGCAAGAGTGACAGCCGTGCGGGGCGGCCCGGCCCTGGTAAAACATCCATCCCAGCGGCCTAATCGAGAGCCGGACGGCAGCGCCGTTGCCGGAACTAATGCAACCTGTCGGTTGAATCCGTGACGTCTACGGACTTCGACCGAGCGCAAGGGTAGCGAGTCAGCTCGGGGTGCTTTGTCAGCGGCCCTCAAACTGGGATGCGTGGCGATGCCAACCCCCGTCGAAGGCAACCCAACCTTTGGGTTACATTCCATGGTCAAGATAAGGTCTCCTTACCGGCCTCCCCCAGCACCGGAGTGTGGGGGGACAAGTAGCCCTCGGGGTAGATGAACCCACCCCCGAGCATACCTGGATCGGTACGGTGGAAAGGAACCCAGGATGCCTACTGTGGATAGCAGCAATACACGGAGAATCTTCCCTTATCTGGCCGGGTCATATGTGGCAATATTCGACGTAACTGTGCCAATGTAACACTACTCGCGGGCCTCTTATGTGCGTATGCCGGATTGTGCGGCCGCTTGAGGTCATCTGTTCGGCACACCTAGACACTATCTTGCCCAATTGCCTACTCTCTTATTCCCCGTGGCCGCATTGTGCAGATTGACTGGTCACTTTTTGCTCGCTTCTGGCTCGGCAGCGACTAGGAACTTCCAGGTCGGTTGGCAGGCTTCGTTTTGACAGGGGCTTATGACATGCATACAGCACATAATACGCCCGCTTAGCAGCCAGTTGAGATAAAGCCTATCAAACGCCAGACAAATGAATGCATATACAGGACCCCCACGCATGGCTTCCTTGTAAAGTACTTCGCCAGGAAGAATTCTTACACTTCCCTCAGGCCAGAAAGGTGCATCCCATGACTTAGACGGACGGAGTCTGAGGTGTGGGGGTTTCTGGCAGTATGTCACTAGGAATAGGCCATACGGCTGCTTCGGAAAATCCAGGAATGCTCTCTCGGCGAGCCTTTGGCCAGGGCAATCGTTTCGAGATAGCAACATCGCCCAGGGACACTTGACTGACGGCGACACCACTAGCAATAATGCCGAGGTTGCACTCGAGAATCAAATAAGCATAGTCTTGGAGATCTAGAAGACTCATTACTTGGCATTCTGATATCGTGGTTTGGAGAGCTACAACAAAAGTCAGCGGCACCTTCGGTGCTTCAAGCAGGAAGAGACACGCTTGGCATTGTGCTAATCGCGCATGGAAACCCCCCCAACGTAGCCTATCTAGAATAAATCGCCCAATCGAATGAGATTGCCTCCAAGTAGTCTTACAGAAGATTTCGTGGACGGGTGACGCGGCCCATAAGATGCTGCACCCTCAAGACACCCTCGTCTCCTGCCTCCTTCGCGGCCTCATAGGCTAGGCGGTAAACATGTAACGTCTCAGAAAACAATGGTCGACGATCTTTCCACCCCGTGACTGTCCTCAGCTTGGTTGAATCAACCCATTGAGGGAAATTGACCAGCATTGGCATCCACAGTACCGCTTCCCGTCCCTTTGGGTCGACATATTCAGGGTCGTCCTGAATATTGTACTCGGTAATCAGTGCTCTACTGATTTCGTCCACCGTTTCGTACCGATATGAGGAGATATTGAAGACCTGACCGCGCACCTCGTCCACTCGAGGGTGAGATGCAATGGCAACATAGGCGTCGGCGCAGTCGTCAACATGTAGCGCGTGTATGATATGATTTGGCGGAGCCTCCATGATGAACCGCCCCCCTTGATCAGCTATCTGCTCAGCGACAGCGAGGAAGTTCTGGTAATAAGTCGACCCCCTCCCGAAGACGTTGGTAGGCCTTACCAGGACAGGCCAAAAAACGTCTGTATGGTCAAATATCTTGACCGAAAAATTCGTTCTGGCTGCCACAGGAGGCGGCGGTCTGAGCGGGGTCTCTTCAGTATGCGGAGGGGGCCCGGCCTCGCCATGTACATGTGGCCCTATCCCGTAGTCTTTGCACCCTGAGGTGAAGATGACCATCGGCTGTCTCCCGGCGGCGGTACTGGAAGCACTGAGAAGGCGAAGCAGGCGGACCGTGTTCTCGAAATGAAACCCGTAGTCCTTCAGTGATTCGGTCGTAGATACGATGACGTCGAGGCGTGCTGGCAGAGCTTCGCGAATACTCTCGTGGGTCTCTCTAGAGTCAATAATCCCAACCACAGGGATGACTTCTTCCGCCGCGAGCTTCTGCGCGGACAGAGGAGATCTGACAAGGCCGTACGTAACCCATCCAGCGTGGACGAAGGCTCGCGCAACGGCATTGCCGATGTAGCCGTTGGCACCAGTAACCAAAACAACACGAGTCGTCATAGTGGGCGGTCCAGTCGAATCTTTGAAAGAAAGCCGATAATAAAGACAAAGAGAGGGTGTGGTCATTAAGAACTGTTGACTACCAAGGGCGTCACCTGAATTTATAGACTTCAACGCCAAGTCCGACCCGCAGTTACACCCGGGAGGTTTACCAAACATGGAACTTCCACAGCTTCATCCGCTTGTTCTCACCTGACTTGACAGTGACAGGCCATCTTGAAGGCAATTTCTCCAACTTTGCGGCATCCTAACTGCAGCAGCTAAAGCTTGGCCTGTCAGTTTCAGGCCGTAACTAGTCATTATCTCGCTGTTTGCTGTTAGTTACCATTCCATCCTGTCCGGTTGGTGTCCAATGTCTTCGTCCGCGCGGCGAACTGGATCGCTGTCAACACCGCCTTATTTTGCGCACGTTGCAGCGTTCTTGGGTCCAGCATCGATTTAGGCTAAGAAGGGGAGGCAACCAACTGTGCGGGGGTTGGTGAGGTATTTTAGAAGCCGAGGTCCCGCGTTGAAGCCAGGCTTTCTCTCTCAGGATCCTCTTGTCCAGCGTTTCAGAAGCTGAGCAACGAATATCCCGTGTTTATTCTAAAAATGCCAACGTCCCGCCAGGCCGTCGCTAGCCTCTATGGCAAGATCGCCGATTATGAAAACAATCGACTAGCCACCCATCCAATGGAGCGCGAGATCACTCTACGCGCTGTTTGTCAAGCTCTAGCTACCTCTGAGACTACACATGCTGAGCGCAAGCGTATTGCCGACGTAGGAGGTGGCCCTGGGAAAGTAGCCTTTGCACTTGCTGACCAAGGTCATCATGTTGATCTCATCGACATAAGTCCCAGCCTTATCCGACTTGCGGAGGCGGAGCAGGATCGGCGCGCCGCAAGTGGTGAGAACCTAGCACTTCTTGCGAGCATTGGTGTAGGCGACGCTTTGGATAGAATTCCTCTAACGGATGCCTCATACGACGCCGTTCTTCTCTTGGGGCCTCTCTATCATCTCCTGGAGGAGACTGAGCGGAAACAGGCGGTCGAGAACGCTCTCAGACTCGCAAAGCCTCAGGGAGGACTGGTTTTCTGCGCGTTCGTCAGTAAGGAAGCTCACCTTAGGGATCTCGCAATGCGCGATCCCGCGAGGCTTGTCAAACAGAGAGATTTTTATGCTACCTACGTACGTTTGTATCGCTGATATCATCTCTAAGCGACAACCCTGCTAAGCTATATTTGGAACACATATTAACTCCCGTTGCTTCCTATGAGTAGCTCACCGACGGCCGTTATGAAAGGCTGAATGAGAGTCTCGAAGCAGAAGTACAATCCTTCCACACGGATAGCAACAGCATACGTCGGTTCTTTCAGCGTCACTTTACTGACGTGGCAGAGCTTGTCAGTCTACGCTCTACGGAGGGGATCCTCGGTGGTGGGCTCGACGCCAAGCTTATTGATGCCGACAGTGAAGTCGTAAGGGTATGGGCAGACTTGTTGTTTGAACAATACTCCGGGAAAGAAGAGTACCTAGGATGTGCAGACCATTTACTTGCCGTCCTGCGCAAGAGGTGAAGGGGCTGCATTGCAGTCGACAAGATGTTCTGGTAACATTCCATGTAATGGCCGTCATCATGGCAAGCCTACGGGTTGTGTGAGAAATCGTAGTTAATAGAGGCTAAATTGCTACTGATAATGCATTCTAGACACCAGGCGTAGCGCAAAGAGGTTTGGAAAAGGTGGAGGAAGATCCTCCAGATAGGGAACTTCCACGGCCTTATGCGCAAGCCCTAGCATCCTCACACTTTTCATCCGCATGTTCTCGCCCAACTCGACCCCGATAAGCGTATACTAATCCTTTGATTCACTTTACCGCAATGTAAGCGAGACTAATTATCTTACGTATCATCTCAAACTATCCAACCCTCGCCGTCAATGGTGCCGCTTTTGGCGCTTGGTTCCATTCTCACGTTTGAACTCCCCAGAGTATAGCTTGAAAAAGTTGGTAGGCTCCGTTGCATGTTCGCCTGTGACATCATGGAACGCCGTGGTGCTGATGTAGTTTGTCTTGCCCTCTCGGACTAGACTGTAATATTCCAGGATATACTGTTGCTCCGAGTCATCACTCTCAGATTGTCTCTTGAGGACCCTCTTAGCCTCAGCTCTGCGTAGATTGAGTTATTGATTAGCGCTCGGAAACATAAAAAAAGGACTTTCTTTGCAAGTTGCGTACGCTGAAATGTCTTCGAATTCCAGTTCGCTCCCCAGAGCCTGGCTTGCAGCTTCCGCAAGTTCCTTTCCAGCACAGAGCATGGGCCCTAACAGAAACACTGGTTAATAATGATTTCTGAATTTTTACATATCACGGGTTTTCTCACCAGTGACAACCATCATTTGCCCACGGTGTCGGTCGTCAAAGCCATGTTCGCCCTTGCCGCTCAGCACTTGAGCCGCGACGAATGCAACATCCTAAGCAGAGTCCAAATTAAAACCTTATGCATCACCGGCAATATCGCTCTGGACTAAACTTACACCCAAAGCCACTGGCGCGAATTTGTGATTCTTGCCAATTGGCAGCGGAAGAACACCCTCCGATTTTGCTTGCGGCGCGTATAGCAAGAGGTTCTCAGCGTAGAAACCGGCCCTAGATATCCAAAATGTATTAGTTGGTGATGTAGAGGAATATAAAAAGCACTCGCTCTCCGTACCGGATTACACATGGCGAGTGTCCAAGCTCAGTAGACGCGTCCCCTTTGGTGGCCAGTGTCAAGTTCTCCAGCTCAATGAACTCACGTAGATGCGGTTGCCTTTTCGGATCTGCGTAGTCGCAACCCACGGAACTGATGAGGAGAACATTGGAGATTCCCGACTTCTTCGCCGCGGTGATGAGCTCGACTGAGATATTATGCTTGTCCTTGTGAGCTGGGGGGATAAGGCAGATGGTGTCGCATCCTGTGTCCTGCAGCGTCTTCCTCATGGCCTTCTCGCGACCAGGGGAGTGTTTTATGACCTTGGCGCCTCGCTTACCAAGCTCTTTAGCTTTGCTGGACGTTGGATCCAAGGCCAGGGCAGTAAGTGAGTCGATCTTCGTGGAGAACGGCTCGCTGAGAAGTAGATCGGCAATGGCAAAGCCAGTATTGCCATCAGCAGCTGAAATGCACACGTTGCGAGACATGTCTTCTCTTTCCCGGAAGGTGAATTTCTTCAATTGGTGTAGTTATGAAAAGATTATCTTGATTAAGAATTGTAGGTTGGATAGTTAAGGGCAATGGGAGACGGCGCTGATGGGTTCATCTACATACTCTACGAGGATGCATAAGGACGCAAGTGGCAATACTATATAACGCTCTGTGATCTAGCTACAACTTTCGGTTGCAAACCTACTGCCTTCCTCCGGGGCGTATTTTCGGAGTAATGATTCATTGGAAGATCTACCAGAACCTGTATGAGAGACTTGTGACATAACCTATGTTCTGTATGGCGTCCGTGTGACGCAACCCTACTTTAGCCTCACGAATAAGGTTTCCTTCTTTACTTCCTTTCCAGGGGCCCTGTGCATTTGTTTTGTCGCAGACGTTTCAAACGGTAACGTCAGTTTTAATACTTAAAAGTATTCTACTACATCAAATAACGCGAGTTGCTGCTTCGTCGGCGAGCTGCATCAATTGTACGCTCCCCCAATCGCAGCGCTCTACTCCAGGTGCGGCGTATCTGCGTTCTAAAATATAGTGATGAAAACACTTCAGACCGAAAGTGAAGGGATCCCGAGATGCGCGGATCGACGATGCAGGATTTTGGTCACGTCATAGCATGTGCCGGAGCGATTGGCCCTTCAATCTGGTCAAATCAATGCGATCACACCACAAGCAAGCCGATGTGGATTGGAAACTTTTGCCTCTCAGGGTTCGGATCAGAGATCCAGGTGACGATAAAATGAGCCGTTCGGGGTCGTCGCGGGAATGGAAGGGTGTGTGCCGTGATGACCAACCAGAGCTGGTCTCACCAGCCCAGCCAGTGATTCGATCTCGATTGGCAGCTGGTGATGCTGATTTGACTACGGCTCAAGCATAGCTGTTTTCACGGATGGATCATACGCTATTTCGCATTGGGCTGCCATGTCGCGGGGCGGGCAGAAACCTCCGAGGTTTCGCCACAAGGCAATCATATTTATACCAAAAAAAGAAAACGGTTTTAATTGTTTATATTTCTTTCCAAAAATCAGAATCAAAATACATCCGCTCGAGATGCTAAGAATATTACGTAATTATTGCAGCATGTTTCACTCATGATGATACCTGCAAGCTTAGAGCTTGTCAGACAGGCTCTTGATGAGTTCGACGAAGCAAATATAGAGCGTGATGAGATAGACATACAGCGCATCATCGTCTAAGGCCCAGAACCATATTCATCAAGCACTTTGCCCGTAGATTTATGCAAGGAGATGTTCTTCTAAAGTGAACCAATTATTAAAAACCTAGGTAGGAGTAGACTTCAAAGATAAGGTAGTTTAGAATGCATACGCACATCAGTAATTTGATACACTCCCCCCTAATACATTTCGATAAATTCTCAACAGCTGCCCTCGACGGGTGAGAGATATCGTGTGCAAGGTTGAAAAGAGCAAAGAAAGATGCCAAACCCGACACTTGCTTCTGGCAAGTTATGACTTGTATTAAAATAGGTTCTATATTCCAAGCGAAACGTTTTGTCTTCCTTGCCGTCTAGCTTACCCGCACCTCTAGCCAAACAGCGAATCTCAAGCGAAAATCACCTAATATTAGTCGCGCAGAAAGCTCTCTTCGAATGGAAAATGAGTTAGCAGCTCATAGCCCGTCTCAGTCACAAGCAGTTGATTCTCCAATTTGATGCCATCCTTGCCGCCAACTTCACCAACATAGGCTTCGACACACATTACCATACCCGCTTGAAGCTCTCCCTCGTAGCCGTAAGCATCCAGATCTTCGGGGTAGCGGATGCTGGGATACTCATCGCAAAGCCCTACACCATGGAACATGACGCCATATCGCTGAGCACGGCAGCTTTCAGGGAGACGGTGGCCGTTTCGCGTCAAATCAGTAAAGCGCACGCCGGGCTTGATCATCTCGATGTTGGTCGTGATGTGCTCGTGGGCGATGCGATACAGGCGCTTCTGCTCAGCTGTGGGCTCGAGGCCGCCGCAGATCCAGCTGCGCGACATGTCGACACACATGCCATATACGCCGATGAGGTCGGTGTCGAATGACAGCAAGTCTCCATCTCGGAGCACTCGTGGCCCGGATTCCTGATACCAAGGGTTTGTGCGCGGGCCAGAGTTGAGAATGCGAGTCTCGATCCATTCGCCGCCGCGGCGGATGTTGCCAGAGTGCAGAGCAGCCCAGACATCGTTCTCCGTGGCACCAGCGCGCATGGCCTGTCGCATCTCGCCGACTGCGGCTTCACAGGAGGCAACCGCGCATTTGATTGCGCGGATCTCATCGGGGCCCTTGATCATCCGTGCATGTTCCATAACAACCTGCCCGTCAGACATGGCCACTCCCAGCGCATCGAGGGCACGCAGGCCGGCGATTTCAACTCGATCGACGGCTAGCCGGCGGTTGCTGCCGGAATGCTTCCGGAGCAACTCATCCACCTCTTTGCCGAAGCGCGCGGCGTGTTCACCAGAGCGATCGCCTGTTTCGAAGTAGAAGAATGTAGCTCCGGTGCGCCGTTCACTAACCAGTGGCAGATGGGCAGAGAGATGGCCGCAGTTATGGAAATCCCATAGCACGATGTAGCCACTAGGTACAATGAAACAGGCGCGAGCGGGATTGTGTGTAGTCCACAGCTGCATATTGGTGGTGTCCGTGGCATACCGAATGTTCAATGGATCAAACAGTAGTATCCCACCCAGGCCGTGACTACTCAGCTGATCGCGAATGCGCTGTAGGCGATATCCACGCATCGTCGGTAGGTGTGGCGGGTGCAAGCCGAGATGCTGCCACTCGGCGAATGCCAGTGGTGTTGGTCCGATCTCGACGCGGTCATTGTTATTGTTCGAGCCATCAGGCTTGTGGGGGTGGGCGGGGTTGATTCGACGAGAGTCAGGAGGGATGGAGAACGGGGAGGTCAGACCAACTACTTCTTCCTTCATTGTGAACAGCAGTTGTTTATAGCTTGCAGTAGGCAACAAGCCGTACAAGGTGCACTGTGAGCAAAGTGCCCGTCGTCGAAATGGACTAGAGCAGTGCAAGGGATAGACAGAACTTCAAAATCAGAGATTCGGGCTCCTCTATTCATGTATCTCTGTAAGGAAATAGTTGAAATGCTAATTGTCCAACGGAGATGTCGCAGTCTTTTTACCGCACGTGGAGGGGAGCTCAGATGAATTTCCTAACATGTATTAATCACGTGCAATAGCCAATATTGGTGCGCCGCAGATCTTGTAGCTCGCCCAGTGGGTGACATTGAAATTGAGACACTCAAAACATTGAGCTGCTTATTTTCGAGCCTGCGATCGATATTTTCAGATTATTGAGTACTAACAATACATAGATAAGATATAAACAGCATATATTATCACATTATTTCATAAAGTAGTCTATTTATAACCACTCTCCCATTAAGTTCTTCATTATCGCCAATTTGCTCGCTGAGGCACTGGCACTACTTGCTGCTAAGTCTCAGTGGCCTTCCATGTCTCTTTGTCTCTGTCAGCCCTGATCTGGTGGGCCCCATATTTTATAGCCAATCAAAAGCTCCATGCTACACACAAATGTCGAGCTCCACCCAGATTTGTGTGTAGTATGAGGCACTTGATTGGCCCGCCATCTCACAAAGTGGGGGCCTTGATCCCGCATCAACAGCGAAGACAGTGGACCAGAGCAGGGTAAAAGATAGGAGCAGCTCATATTGATTCCAACCTGTACCAGTCATTGCGTCAGCCAGTATATACGGCTGACCCGGGGTTGCTCTGTCTCGCGGTGAATCCGGTGCGCCGTAGGTCCTGTAGCTCGTTTCTTCTTTACGGACTCAGGCGCTGGCACTAAATAATCCCTACTAAGTCTAGCCAGCCTTATCTCTGCCTCCATCTCCCCACACCTTACTACCCCTGGTCTGGCCCATCGCAGGGGGTTCGGACAAGGTGAGCCTTGTACTTTAGACAGCCAATCAAGTGCTTCAGAATACGCAAACATGGTCAGGATCGGGTTCGCTCGCGATTGGCGCATCGTCCCGCAAACAGGTCGAGCTGGTTCATGTTTGCCTTGCTGGGTTCAAACTAATACGTCTAATAATGGGAGCTTATTTGGGCCAATAATGTGTGTGTATTGAATCTCTTGTGGTTATGTGTCATTATATTATTGTCATCTAATAACCTAACACTCTCTATATTCCAAGTCTTAGGCTAGATGCTCGCTGAAAAAGATGGGGGCGGGGAAGGGGAGGTGAGTGGGAAAGGGGAGGTGAATGGTGAAGGGGAGGTGAGTGGGAAAGGGGAGGTGAGTGGGAAAGGAGAGGGGGGAAGGAGAGGGGGGGGGCATGAGGAATATCTAATCAATAGAAGACTCATCATCATCCGGGAAGGCACCAGGTAACAGCTGCGTGACGTCTCCGGCTCGGGCCGGTGTCTCTGCGACTACGAACTGCCGCTGCGTCGCTCGAGTGGCAGGCCTTGTAGCTCGGACTGGTGTCTCTGCGACTACGAACTGCTGCTGCGTCGCTCGAGTGGCAGGCCTTGTAGCTCGCGCACCAATTCCCACCAGGTCTCTCGGTGGCCGGCCTCGTCTCTGCTCCCGCCCACCAGCCTGCATTTCAGCACCGGCAACTGGTCCCGCTGGCCCTTGCAGTCCCATTTCAGGACCCGGCCTTGTTCCATGCACATCAACAGCCCGACGAGGTGTAGTGCGGCCCTCTCCACGAAAGACCTGGTCCAGTATTTCCGCAGCTGACGCTCGCCGGTCAGGGTCGATTTCCGCCATGGCTCGTATATCCCGAAGCCGTTCTTCGTTCGCCGCCTCTCGAACCGTTATCATCCTCAATGGAGGTGCTGTGCGACGTAACTTGCGCTGAAAGCCGCCCTCATCCAGTGCATACGCTAGCGTGACAAAGAGTGACCAAACATCCACTTTGGTGGTCTGTGGCCCATTCCGAATATCCAGTTCGGGCGCCATGTAGAGGGACGTTCCGACGCGAGTACAAGCGTCGGTGGCGAGATTGGACAGGCCAAAGTCCGCAAGCTGGTACTCGTACTTTCCTTCCTGACCAAGGGACAAGGCCGAGTCATACAGAATGTTTTCGGGCTTCACGTCGCGGTGGATGATGCCGTGGTGCGATAAATAGTCCAGTGCCTGGAGCATCTGGTGAAGTAGTGGCTTTGCCAACGGCGGGTCTTCGACGAATACGTTCCGAGAAATCAGCTGTTCAACGTTGCCGGGCTTGAGGTCCATAAAGATCAATAGCTCCTCCCCTTCCTGTCTAGAGCACAGGCATTTGATAATGTGCCTCTATCGCGCATTTACTGTTAGCTGTCATGCAGTCAAGGCAACGATACCCTTTGCCATTTCTGGGTTCCATCATTTGGTAAGAGACGTACGTGGGAGACTTTAGACAGGGTGTGAACCTCTCGCTTCAGTAGGATATACTCGTTAGAGTCTGGCGGTGGGCACCTGACCCTTTTCATCGCCAAAAGGTTGCCTGTGTCGACGTTGATGACGCTGTGTACCTCACCAAAGCCGCCACTTCCCAGGAATTTCCGAGCCGAGTACCTGATCTGTACCCTGTTGTTAGAAGCCGGAGTGTGAATACGGGTTACGCGCCCCGACGGTGCCACGGTAGGGGCACCTTCGTCTAGGACTGTGCGTGCTAGACGGGGATTATTTTCGCGGTAGCGGATGAGTTTGGGCACGTTGAGATGTTCCCTACGGTGCCAGACGATCTCGAACTTGTACATGTCACAGCTGGCACCCCCGAATCCCAACAGCAAGTTGACCGTGGGGTCTATGATTACCCGGCGCGGGATCCGTCCCGCCTCAAAGGGCAGGGCAGTGTGACCGTGCAACTGAGTGGTGTTGTTGTTTGACCGGTCATGGAGCATAATCTCCCGCTGGTTGGTCTCGTGAAATTCAAAGGAGCACTGAATTCGCGAAATACCTGCTCCTTCGACAACTATGTTGCCGAGACGTCCGATGGTAGCCAACGTGTATCGAGACGCAGAGCCAATGTGGAGGCCGACATCAAGAGCGTAGATCTCTGGAGAGTGTGCGTCGCTAGAGATATCCGATACCAGGTGGGCATTCTCGGGGTGTTCCAGTGCCTTTTTGGCTCGGGGATTGGCAGGAAGGAGAGAAAAGAGAGCGTACGGATGCGGGCCGTCACGCGGCATGTTGTGCAGCGAGAATGTGTGCGAGAATATAGATGTTCAAGCACAGGACAAGCATCAAGAGGGTATACCGTATAGCAAGCAAAGTGAAAGAGCGCAAGGGGATGGATGGAACGCGGTTAGGACCAAGGAAATTGGTGATAAAGGAGACACTCCCAATCACTACGATGGGCTGAGTTTTATCGGATGGAAGGTAATCGGTGGGCTGCGAGCTTTCTTTTGCTGGCCATGGCTGGCGGTCGGTGATAACCTGGGCCTCAGGCAGCGATTCCTTGTGGGGCATAACATGAAACATGGCACACAAGGACGTAGAGCTCTTTTCACACAAGTCAGGGACCTCGTTTTCTTATTAATGACAATAAACAAAATAGTTATAAGCTTACAATAAAATATTCTATATTATATGGATCGATATTGTGTTACTTGCTGGATTGAGTCTCTTGACATTGTGTAGAACTTCTGAGCGTGTCATGCTTTGTGTCAGTCGGTGGCTTGTAGCCCGGGGTAATCTAGGGTAGCTGTTGGGCTAAATATAGGTACATTTTTAGGCGGTGCCTACCTACCAACCACAAAGATATACAAGGAGGTATAGCACTTGAAACACAGACGGGGAATCATACCCGTTCCTCCCTATTTTTTCACCGAAGCTCAGCCAGTCGTCCGTGAATACAGCCGTCATCTCAACGAAATTAGCATCTCTCAGGAGTGCAATCAGCTGCCCTCCATTATTTAAGGCTACCGGGGAGCTAATGGCGGGGGGGACGGCTGATCAGCGGTTTAGCGG